TTAAATCCCTCATGTAGAACCTGCGGAGAATGCCTTATAATGTCGACTTAAGATGTAAAACACACATTTGTTATAAGAGAGCTGAGAAACTCACTTTGGTTATTTTATGAAGGCTATAATTTGATCCATCATTTTCTTAACTGAAAATGTGTTTATAGCTTTTATTTTGCATCTGTCAAAACCTACTTGTATATTGTGGAGGTGTTTATACCAAAAGATCGGTTAATTATGTAATCTTCATTGTATTGTATTCTGTTTCAAATTTTGATTCAATGCCTAGAATGGCATTAGTCTGGTCGTACCACACCATAGTACACATTACATTTCGTACTAAGGTCTGGAGGTGCTCCATTGAGCTCCGTTTACAGGTGGGAGGGATTAACTCCTTTTGCAGATTGAAACTATTGGATCTGAGTTCATATATATATATATATATATATATATATACATATATAGTGCGCCCGAGTCTATTGTTAGCATTTAGCCATCTCCTTTGCCGCTAACGGAGCCCGTGGGGAGTAGCGCCACAATTTTTTCCAGCGATTACATTTGCTAAACATTCCTCTTGCTCCGACTACAATTTCTCGATAGAACCAGACCGGAATTCTTTACTATCGCATTTTTTGCCATAGCCAAACTACGACCTTCCCGTTCGACGCAAACTCTTGACATCACCCACAACTAACTACAACACCCGCCTCCCGCGCTCGCTGATTTTTCGGTCGAAATTCAACCGATTGTAATCACTAACCCAGGGGCCGGACCCAGACGTTACATGCAGGGAAATGATGATTGAGCGGAGTGTATGGATGGCTAAGGCCAGGCTAGAATGGCATTAGAATAGCTTTAAAATTATGTACATGCCCACATTAACCATATATATTTTCATCTATACATAATCATAATAATTGAAAATCACTTCATAAGAAAGTACTTTTTAATGATATCTGCATGCATATATTAACAGAATAGTATAAAGCTACACATACATCTATAAATTATGTAAAGACATAATAAACCAGTCTGACAGGTGCTTTCTAGATATGGTAAAATCACTATTGATTGGCTACTTATCCTCTCACTGAGCAGCTGGCTCAGCATTTAACTCCAGTGGCTGTCCTTGGCACCATAGCAGCAAAAGGATTAAAATGGATTAATAATACATGACTACACTGTGCAAGTAATATTACCTTTTTTTACGGATTCGACATGCTGTAGATAGCAAACAGAAAACTTCCCAGGAAGCTAACCATTAAAGGGAAATGCAATGGTGCAATGTCGGCTACTTTATTATAGGCTCTTTGACAGAGAAACTGAGTGACTGGTATGACAGCCTGAAATACCGCATTCTTTCATACAATACCCACACACAGGTAACCACACACTGAAGAGCCATCGTGGACACAATGTATTCCCTCTCCAGCATCAAATAGCTTCATATCAGACCCTCACCTTTATAAACCCAGTGAACTTCCTGTCCCATGACTTTACCATCATAACTCATATATGAAGCCCCTATGAGAGCGGGCTCCCTGTGGCCTCTCTTGGGCATCCTGCTGATATTAAAACAAAGAACATGAGAAGTGCACATAATGGAGGCAAAAACAGGTTGTAGAAGTCATGTTGAGAGACTGGATATCAGTTCCTCTTTTCTTCCTCTCATGGAGCACACTAAATCATTCTGTGAAACATGAATATATAATAAATAACTTTCCTCAGCCAGCCCCCTTCTCTGTTGCTTTAGTCCTTGCCCGACTTTCTGCAAAGTACCAGAGGTCGTTTCATTTCACATATAAATTATTCACCAGGGCCTGAGCACCCATGTGCAGTGAGTGTCTTAAACAAGCCATATCTCTGATTTAGCTCTGTCACTGGAGGCAAGCTGAAGGTCATCTGTGCCCAGTGGACGTGCACATGCTCGCTCCAGCTAATGGAATTTACTACTGTCATTTTACAACAAAAAGCATGACATTGAAAAAACAAAGTGCGTGTGATTTCATGTTTTTGTAATGATTCTCTAACTTTTCACTCACCACATCTGAATCTAAAACAGCTGGATTAAAGTACTAGTTCTAAACATGTAATTGTTAATGAGGAGTACTGAGTCAAAAGAGAAAAATGTGCAATAATAATTTTGCATTTAATGGAACACAGAATTGTGTAACATCGTTTACATGACTTTGACTTTGTTATTGCTGCAGACTCTGTCATCGAATAGCTGCTGATAAACGTTTTAGGTGACATTGGAAAATGAGCCAAAATGAAATGTGAAAGGCCCACTACTGAAGTTGTTGTGACTGCACTTTTGATTTGACAGTAGAAAAAGTGTTGTATCATTACAGGTTAGGGCCAGGGATAGCTGAAGTGAAGACGCTCTGCCAGTCCATTGAGCTCTAAATATTTGTCAGATAAAGTGTAAACAGAAAGCACAGCCCATTTCTATCCTACATAGTTTGTCTCAACACGACAGTGAGACAGAGAGAGGGAAGAAGTGCTCTTAGCGGCAGCTGCATCAGCAAAGTCACAAAAACAGAAAGCTATGTCTTTGTGTGTGTGTGTGTGTGTGTGTGTGTGTGTAGTGAGGGAGTGGGCACATGTGCAGACTCAGGGGTGATGGCTTCTGCTGCAGACAAAGGGGAGGCACTGAGTATCCATTAGCCTAAACCAATGGATCAATATTGAGGCTTATTAGGCCTATCTAATAGGCTTCTGGCCGTCCTCCTACAATGACAGCATTAGTGGACATGTCCAGATGCAAAGACCAGGCCTTCAACAACATAGTAATATAAGGATAATATAATTTTCATAATGTGCCAAGACCAAATGTTGGATAGGCACAATGTTAAAGAAAGAAAAAATCAGCTTCACCAATCCAGGAGTGTATGTGTGTGATTGTGAGATTGACATGCCCGAGGTCCTCTGCCCTACCCCCTTGCCGTCTCTAGATAATATAAGAAATAATGATTGGTTGATAACCATTTGCCTTCACATGGAACCAGGTGATCAGTTTGTCATTTTTGAATTATATATATTTTTTCCTTTTACAAATAACGCAATTTGCATTTAGCTTTACAGGTACTTGATTAAATTATAAATCCACGGAGACCGTTGTATAAACAGAATTATACAGACACAAGACTGATTCATAGGACTGCAATCAAAACCTCCTGACATTAATAGGTTTTGGATTTAGTTAACTTTTTTTCTCTTTGCAAACTTCGTTTGAGTAAAATCTGAAGACTAGTTTTCACAGAGTGAAAAAGGAGCTTGAACACAGTCCCTGCTTTGTGCAGAGGGCTGCATATAGAGAACATAGTGTTAGCGTAACCAAGCAGTGCAGCTGGTCTTTCCAAGCAATGCCACCTTAAAGAACTCTTTAAATCAAGATGCACAGGACACACAAACACACACTGGGACATATACAGTGATGCAGAGGGAATGCTTCTAACCTGTGAGACAGGGCAGAGATACAGAGATACAAACTCGTAATGAAATTAGAGATGAACTAATACTTGTACAGTCCTGGATACATTTGGAGAGGTGTGTAAGACTATTTAGATCTAAAGTTATATTGGTATTTTTCATTGCATTTTTAAACCTGTTGCTGCTCAAATGCAAATAGACCTAACTACCGCAAGAAGAAAGAAAAACATGCCAGCCAGTTCATCCTCGAGGCCTTGCAAACATCTTACAACATTCCTTTCATAAATGTTCAGTGGCTGCATATTTTGTTTAGAAACCAGAGAGTACTGGGATGTGGAAGGCCTTATGAAGCTACCTCTAAGAGTGTTCCTTTATCACTCACTCTCATCTGACCTATTCTTTGACCCATAGCCCTTATTATTTCAGGGTTGGAGGCTTCTCTTTACCTATAACTGAACATTTCCTTTGTCACTTTCGAATGAACATGGAGACAGCTTTGCCCTCATGTGTTAAAATATGCACACCTGGATGACAATGACCTTTTTAAGTCAGACACTGATGTGAGGAGAGGCGTGGCAGAATTCTGCAAATTGGCATAAAGTGTCAAAAGTGAACCCAGAAGAATTGAATTCTGGACTTTGATATAATTTGCATGTTCCACAACATGTACTTCTCTTGTGGTTTCAACATGCTTAAATTTCAGACTTCCTCCCTCATTTTTTTTCCAGTTCCTCCTGCAAATCAGCATGTCTTCCCCCTTTAGTTCCCCTCAGTGGTAGGATTAAGAGTTAGCAAAACACCCACAACAAACAAGCATGAGAGAAAGTTGCCTTTGCAATGAAAAACAGCAACATTCAGTTTACTTAGGTACGTCATGTAGACTGCATACAATAGTCAGACATATTTAACCAACCAAAATATTTGCACTACCTGGTGACTGAGAGGACATTGATCTTTCAACTCTACCCAAGCTCCGGCACTCCAGCTCAGTGTAAAACTATGGTTGTTAATTAACAGAACATACATGTTTATAATGTTAATATGTTTCATAGGTACACTCTGTGGTAAAGCATTTCAACATTATACAGGTGGAGGAAACCAAGAGGAGAGCTCTGTGGCATATAACATATTTTATTCGCTAGTTGAACAATCAATTTAAAGTTAACAATCCTCACAGGCACATTTTTGTTTTATAAAAGCCCAACACATTATTTGATGCCTTTGCATATAGTTTATAGAAAGAATATACAGTATGAACTTCTAAAACAGAATAACAAACTTTTAGAGAATGCTGTTCTCAAGTAGGAAGATTAACCTTCTAACGTGCACTCAAAGACATGAAATTCATTAGTATGACTGTTACACTTTCACTCTGCAGATTGAACGGTTCTGTCCTGACCTCTCAAATTTACCCTTCCTTGTCTGTACGTCCTCAAATGGTCACATTTGATTTGGTATTTTAAAAGAAACACTGCCTGGGATACCACAATGCCCTAGCTACTTGTGATACCTTTATGGCTTTCACACCTTTATTGGACTTAACTAATTCCAAACATTACCAGTATAATTGCTCAATTTCAGACAGCCTGTGTGATCTCCGTACTGCTGAGACCATCCACAAGGTTGGACACTACATCGTCAACTTCTGCGACTTCTTCACCCAAGATAATGTCCTTTTTAAGTTCCAAGCCAGTCTTTGGGACGGGTATTTCCTCTGGACTTTCGCTGCCATTGACACATTCCTCAGACTGTTCGATAGACTCTGCACACTCGCCGTTCACCTCTGTGATTGCAGATTCAACGGGGCATTCCAACTCTTCATTTTTAATCTCTACTATAGACGTGGCGTGCTCCTCATCCTCAGCAGAAATCTCACATCCTGAGATAGATTCTGAAATGACAATCTCAGGAACTGGTTCGACTACTTCCGGTTCCACAGCCTTCTCAAACCCAGAGGATTTCTGTGCAATGATTTCTTCTTTGAACTCTTGCTCCAGGACCTCGGCTTTCGGAACCTCGGTTGCTAGTCCATCCCCTTCTCCTCCCTCTGGCTCCTCTGGTGATACTGGTTCTTCAGGTGCAACTACTGCCAACTCTGCTGCTGGTTCTTCTACAGGAGGCAGTGGGGATTCTTTTGGTTCAGGAGCAGAAGCTGCGACCAACTCTGATTCTTCCACAGGTTCTGGTTCCTCAACTGGCTCTGGTTCTGGCTCCTTCACCAACTCTGGTTCTGGTTTTTTAACAGGTTCTGGTTCTCTTACAGGCTCTGGTTCCGGAGATGACACCACCACAGGCTCTGGTTCTGGTTCTCTTACAGGCTCTGGTTCAGGAGATGACACCACCACAGGCTCTGGTTCTGGTTCTTTTACAGGCTCTGGTTCAGGAGATGACACCACCACAGGCTCTGGTTCTGGTTCTTTTACAGGTTCTGGTTCAGGAGATGACACCACCACATGTTCTGGTTCTTTTACAGGCTCTGGTTCTGGTTCTTTAACAGGCTCTGGTTCTTTAACAGGCTCTGGTTCAGGAGATGACACCACCACAGGTTCTGGTACTGGTTCTTCTATCAGTTCAGCCACAGGCTCTGGTTCTGGTGCTGGAGCAGCTGATTCCTCTGGAGCATCAGGCTCTGGAGTAGTTTTCTCCGCAGGCTCTGGTTCTGGTTCTTTCGCAGGCTCTGGTTCTGGTTCTTTCACAAGCTCTGGTTCTGGTTCTTTAATAGGCTCTTGTTCTTTTACAGGCTCTGGCTCTGGTTCTTTCACAGGCTCTGGTTCTTTTACAGGCTCTGGTTCTGGTTCTTTTGCAACTGGTTCCTCTGAAGCAGGTGACTGTGGAGTGGGTTCATCAACAAGAACTGGTTCTGGAGAAGGTTCTTCTGGAGCAGGTGGCTCTGGGGTTGTTTCTGGTTCTGGTTCAGCCACAGACTCTTGTTTTGGATCTGGAGCAGCAGGTTCTGGTTCAGAGGGTTTGGGTTTCTCCGTGATGCCTACAGCTTCAGTCACTGCGGTCACTGCAGAACTAACGACCTCTTCCACAGCCGTCACAGCTTTAGCAGTCACTTCCTCCACAAGTGGTGGAAGGGTTTCCTCAACTTTAGCGGCTATCTGGGCTGCAGCCACAGCAGCAATGTCATTCTTGGCATCTTTGGGATCAGTCACATCATAAGTATTCTTCTTTTTCTTGGTCAGTTTGTTTCCCATGGTTACCTATAAAGAAACACAATTGGGGTGAGTCATCAAGATCAAATAATAAGCTACAGCCTTGTTAAATATTGTATTATTATAATATCTTATAAGTGCTTCCCATTTGCCCCGTGTCATTTTACAATGCACAACGTTGTTGCAGTATGCAGAGCATGTCACATAAATCTGTGGGGTAGAGACACAGGACACCACACAACTATACTTTCATTGAGGAACTTAGAGTGAACATCTTTGCTTTGTATGCCCCCAGTGAAAAAAACAAAAACAAAAAAACGTTTTGCTCAATATCGGCCCAACAAAATAATAAAGAAAATGCCAATATGTACAGTATTACTTAATTCTTTAGTTTATTCCATGTAGTGGTAGGCGTAGGCTAATTTGCAGCACTTTGGCACAGGTAGACAATCCTGGAACTGTCCATAGTGCTGCAATGGAGCAATTAAGACGTGACGCATCACGTGCAAGTAGAGGCACATAGACTTTTAGACTTTTTTGGTTTAACTTTTTTCATTAAATAGCCTTTGAGAAAACTGGTCCACGGACGATCAGGACACACATCAACTGAAAAGATTTAGTGTAGGAATGGGGTATGTGTGTGCGCGGCCCAGGCTCCATGAAGTGTGTTGCGGCTCAATGCAGCAAATGTAGATAACGAGTTAACAGGTTTCTCTGATGCGCGATGCCGGTAACAAAGGAAGGAACCTCGGCAGCTCGTATTTGGCGAAAGGGAGTCCGTGTGTGTAGAATGGAGCAGACTAATCTTTAACAAATGGACTTTACTAAACAGGTTACATACACAAGCCTCAAGATGAAAAGAAAAAAAAAACCTTAAAAAAAAAACCTGGTGTGGTCTCCTCCATCCCCCCATTCTGCCCTCCCACTGCTACCTCTCAGCTGCTCTGCCCTTTTTTGTTCATGAACAGAAACTCGCGTTGGCAACAGCATGATTTGTTTGCTATACGATTCGTGAAATCAGTAGCCAGAAACATCTGTCCTACTGCATATTCGATTAGACTGAGCAATTTACGATTACGCGTAAGAGCGCTCAATGCAGCATCGCAAAAGAAGAAAACCAACCCCGTTGAAATATCAAACGACTGATTCAAAGTAGGAAACAAATACAATATATTTATATACACAATTAATTAAAGTTTGATTCATAAATGCATATTTTCCTTAAGTGATTTTAAATTATATAGCTGAGACATTAAAACAGAAAAAGCACTGACCTTAGAGAGATCTTACAGCTGAGCTCCTTAATGTTGGACGTGACAATAGAAGAAAACCTTTGGAGTGACAGCTGCAGATTCCGGCCCTGCTTCCCCAAGTGCACTGGGACTCAACTGAGGAGTGCCCCTCACAATTCTCCAGACATCTGTCGCTATCACAATCCAGCCCACCCCGTTACGGCGAGAAACCCCTCCTCCAATTGCACACACCCACCTAACCGCTTCGACTCAAATATGATCACTTCTAATCTTAACTTTCACTGTATACACCTAGTTGTTTGCAAAGCCAAATGTTAAGAGTAGGGTGTGTGTAATGGTGTTATACCAAAGAGCAAAATATGTATAATATATCTCATTATAGGCCTAATTTGAAAAAATATGATTTATCATATTGCAGCATTCACATTATTTGAATGTGAACCAGCATCTACAGTATTCTATAGCTTGCTTATCACTCGAGACGAAATTAATCATGATACCATAAAAGTGTTCACTTTGTTCTAAATTAATCCGAATTTAATAAACTTTATCCATGGGAAAAGCTGCGGAGGTAAAACAAAATTGTGTGACTGCTCCATCTAGAGGGAAATAGATACAACTACAACTTGATTACTCAATACTTTACTTCATACTTTGGTTTCATTCAAATCCCTAAAAGAAAATGCCACCTTCCTTTTTCTTCTGTCTAAGTTTTATTGACATTTGTGAGATGGGGTACCTAGAGGTACAAAGTGTTTATAAAGCACAAAGAAGCAAACATTTGGTATTATTCACTGAATGGATTGACACATCTGTTGTGGGATATTTAGAAATACTTTGTAGCCAAACAAATGGAACTCAAAACAAATGTATAAGACTGGGTGTGGGTTCTTGAATGTGGACATGAATGGACCGTGAGACAGCTTCCGCCGTAAATTAACTCATTTAAAAGTGTGAACGTCTCTACCACCCTTTTTCATGCACACTGGTTATTACAGACACGTTATCTTGTCTTTATCTTGACATGCACTGTGCGACATCACACAGCTACATTTGCATTACGTCATTATTTGGCACTTTGCCAGAGAGACCAGTCAGCCTGGACTGCTGTAATATCATGTCTGGTCAATGGTGTGTTGGAAGCTCTGGTGACCAGCAGCAATATAGTTCCGTATCAGTTCTTGTGACGTACTGTTAAAGCAAAAGGCCTTTGGTAGAAGAACACCGTGCAGAGAATATAATAGATCCATGGCAGAGATGTGCAGAGAGTGAGCCTCTGGCCTCGGTGAAGGAATCAAACGCCCTGTTGTCTCCGTGAGGGCGGTGCTAGTGTAACCCGGGCTGGGCCTCGCCTTTGTGGTCTGTAGAGAGAAGATGGCTCCCGTTCTGGACAAACAGCTCCCGCTGTCCGCTGGGGCAGGAGACAACAACAATGACGACGAAGAGGGCCAAAACCTCTGGCAAGTCTCTACCGTACCTCTCTAATTCGTTGATAATCGTTTGTAAAGATGTCATAAATATAAAAGTTTTGCTTTGTCACTGCTCCCAAACAAGCGCCCCCGGCTCCACCGCGTTAGCAGCACTTAGCTCCTGTGTCTGCACCTACTGTGGTTTCATGTGCACAGCCTGGTTTAAAGTTTAACAGAGTCTAAATGACAATGATTCAGTGTAATGAAGGAGACCTTTAGCTGTTAAGTGAATACTAACAACAGATTTGGTACTACGAGATTTGACAGGTTCGGCTTGTGCTGAGCTTTTCTGTCAGAACGGAACAAGCTCATTCTGTGTAACTTCAGAGTCCAACCCAGCTGATGGGATCAGAGAGAATACTCGGAGAGTGCCTTTTGCATTAATGCTCAGGCACACATTGGCAAGATATTTCAGTGATCTTTACGGGCTGACCATGAGTCCTACTTAAACACATTGTTGCATTGTAGTTTGTGCGAACTGCTTGACCATTTCCTGTTTTGTCGGGTTCAAAATGGCACTTTGTCAATGACAAAGAATGAATGAAATTTATGCTACTTTGATTTCGTAAACATGTAAGTAAAAGAATGCATTTTGTATTGGACAGGTCTTCTATTTTGAGTGAAGTTTCAACAAGATCAAACTCAAAGTTACCGTCAGGGAAGAATATTCTGATATTTGGTAAGTCTTCTACAAAACGTCTACACATTATATTAAATTATATAAATCAACATGATATTTTTTTAAACATAGCCTGTATAATAATAATAATATTAATCAGTGAATGACAGCCAATGTTCTATTCACGGTGCAGGTGAGGATGGATCGGGAAAAACAACACTTATGGCCAAACTTCAAGGGGCAGAACACAATAAAAAAGGGAGTGGGTTGGAGTACCTATACTTGAGTGTTCACGATGAAGACCGAGATGGTAAGTGTGTTAAGTAATGAGTCAAAGTTAAACTAACAAAAACATTCATTAATTTGTGACTATTTCAGATCTTACACGGTGCAACGTTTGGATCCTGGATGGAGACCTTTACCACAAGGGTCTGCTTAAATTTGCAGTTTCATCCCAGACCTTACCGGACTGTTTAGCTATGTTGGTTGTGGATATGTCCCGGCCATGGATCATTATGGATTCACTGAAGAAGTGGGCGAGTGTGCTTCGCGATCACATAGACAAGCTCAAGATTCCACCAGAGGACATCAGAGAAATGGAACAGAATAGTAAGTATGTTTTGCATTGTCTTTGTAAAATGTCATGGAGCATAGAATTTCTTGTTTTAAAATATGCACAACATGAGCATGAAATGTTGATTCAAAGCTGACTCGGGCCACATAACATGCACATGCTCTAGGAGAGAAATAAAAAGTAATGTTACATAATGGCATACAGTGTGCTTTACAGACAGGGAAAAATGGGATTGGTCACTGAGTAGCATGAAAGGCAAGCTCTTTATAATGTTAGACTTTATCATGGCTGTTTCTGGGTCATCACCAGCGAGGCCCATGATCCTCAGCAGTGTGCTCTGCCTGCAGGCCACTTTAGATCAATGAATGTTCTCAGTTGTTTGTCCTGTTAATTTTAGAAATCTTATTGCATGTAAAGCATTAAACACTGCTGGCTGTTTAGAAGGCTGCATAGACTTTTGAAAGATAAGTATTAATGTGAGACATTCAATCCGAACAAAACATGTCTTTACATGCTGTGGCAAGTTTAGTGGTAGATCACTGGCCTACGCTCCGAAAATGCTAGTTGGAAGTTGATCGTTTTTAGATCGCGTTCCTTCACACTGGTAGCGGTCAAGTTTGAGATCTCTGTATCAGACGCATGGGCAGGCCCCCAAGGCCAGGGTTCAGCAAAAATTAAGCAAAAATTAAATGAGAATTTCATCAATTAAGGCGTATATTCAAGAGAGGGAGAACACTGAACAAATCACATGTTTTTTTAGGAGTGTGACGATATATCGATATGGTGATGTATCGTGATACTTTCTCACGCAATCGATTATCAATATGCTTTTGCTAATTATAATTTTAATAAGGAAAAGAAAAAGTTTTGATACTTAATATATGGCTACATTACACGTTCTACAATTTCTGTAGAATGTTCATATTGTTATTGGATGTAAGACGAAGATATTTACAAAAATGTGCAGGTTAAAAGGCATTTTTGCTTGTTCACTTTAATGTTACTTTATCCATTTATCTTGAAATAAAGTGTATTGTTTCACTTAATGCCAAAAATATCAGAAAAATATTATATATTTTTGACCAATATATCGATAATCGCTACATCGTCATATCGTGAGATAATCGTTATCATGAGTATCGCACATCGTAATGTGAGGTACCCTGAGGTTCCTACCCCTAATGTTTACAGTATATATTTAAGCCAAAGAACATGGAAGGCTGCTCTTTGCTCAGTTGTATTCTCTCAATGGTGAGTTTAGGAGAAGGATTCAATGATTCTTGTCTTTCAATTTTAATGCACATGTCAATAATCGAATGGTGAATGTTGAGATTGGGACTTTTGTATTTTTGGCACATCTCCGGCATAATTCGTTGACCATTGGAACATGAGTCACATTACTCATGAAGTGCACTGAACAAAAATAAACACAGCATCAAAACCTTTTTAGTTCCAGTTTGAAAACTATAATGGACAAGAAAACAGATGCGTTTTGCAGCATGGGTTTGTGAGTCTCAGAGAATGACTCAAAATTATCATGTTGATGATGGAGTCTCAGTCGTGAATGTGAGCAGTTAGAAGAATGTGCTGATACAAAGGGTTTGAGTGACAGCTGAACTTTTCCATTTTATGGAAAAGTTCTAAATCTTTTCCATAAAATGCATACATTTTATTACATTATATATTTAGTGTCAAGTTTTACCATTGAAATATCTATTTTATTCTTTTTGTTTAATACTATGTGTCAAGGATAACGTGATTCAGACATTTCTACCCCTCTTCATATCCAGGTTGTCCCAGTTCTTTTATACCCATTAAGTTAGCATTAATCTTACCTTTCAGTTTGTGTCAGTGTTGACCCATTGTTAATGTTTTAATAAATGACTGGCGTTAAATCTATGTTAAGATATGTTTAGAAGAGGTGGGTCATGTGTGTTACATTGTGACTACTGTTGTGTAGATGGACATGGATGTAATGTAACTGAATACAGCTGTTAAACTCTGATCCAGTCTTTCCGAGTGTTGCATCATGGTTCCAGTCCCCTAGACAACGTCAGGGACAGGAAGTAAACGGAGCTGTTGAGTTCAGGCAGTAGGGTGGACACCCAAACGCCCACTGCGCTGAAACTCAAGCTGCTGCTGCTCGAATTGTTCTTGTCAAATTACAGGATCTGCTTTTTGTGAGTCCCCTATTAAAAACAGGATTCTGTGGTTGGATAATTTTAGATGTAAGTGCAACAATTAGAAGAAAAAAAGATTGGTAGTGCGTTTATTAAGTCCTACAAACTTAAATACATGATCTTTTCCGCCATGTTCTTAAAACATGTCACATTTCAGTGTGGTGAACACATTCTTAGTGAGGCTTAAGTTAACATGGAGTAACTGCAGGCCTCACATGTTAATCCCATGTTTAGAGCAGTGGGTTGTCCCGTCTGCATTCCACAAGCAAGCGCAGCAACAGAGCACATCAGGAGACTTCTGGTTTATAAATCCATTTTGATTATTACATAGCTTTTATGCTCAACAGAAGATTAAGATTCAAGCATGAATTGACTTGGATCTTAGAAATGGTTTAAAGCTCTTCAGTCTGCCGCAGTCTGCAGTCTTATATTTCTGGTCTGCTTCTGCCTCAATGATTCATATTGCAGGAGCCACACAGAAATTATTAGGACACTGCACAGTCCTGAGACCCTCAGGTTGTGACCTACGTGGGAGAATCGGCCTTCTCATTATGCTCCTTGTAAATGGAATACCATTCTTCAACATGGATCGGATTAAGAGTAAACTGTTCTGGGTTTTTTCCCTGCATCGCTCTGCTAAAGACTAATTTACTAATCTTTCAATACTAAATCACTGTAAATAACTGTATATTTGTCTTCTGCCTGTATTTTCCTAGTGGTAAAATTGTTTCAAGAATACACAGAGCCAGAGGAGGCCACGCTGTCGTCCCCACAGAGGAGAGCTCCTACTGGGCCAGAGGATGAAGCCGTGGTGCTCCCGTTGGGTGACAACGTCCTCACACACAACCTGGGCATTCCAGTGCTCGTCGTTTGCACAAAGGTGAGTTTCCCAGGAACAGATGGGCGGAGGCCTGAGACAGAAGACAAACACAGTCTCGCGCCTAGAACATGTTTATTTTAAAATTTGTGTTTCTCAAGCTGTGGTACTAGGGCTCCTTTTGAGGGTATGATGGATTGTGCATTTCAGTTAATGATAATTTTGATTATTGTCTGCGGATTGTTCAATTGGTCAATCAATTCATTTAAAATGTCATGCAATTTATTTGTTTTTATCTGGCCAAACCAAACTCAAAATGGTTGTGTGAACTTCCACTTTATACGTGGCCTGTCACATTGAATTCTATTTAAGTCCACAAAGTGTTCAATAAATTGAAAATACAATATTAGATATTAATTTCAATTTCAAATCCTTTAATGACATTATAAAAATGTGATCTTTATAAACTTGTGTGCTGCCTCAGATCTTTGGAATTTGACCTTCTTGCCGTCCCACTGTAAAACTGAAAGCGGAATCAGAATGCTCTAATGATATCAATAGTGCTCTGTTGCTGAGCTAAACTACAGAAAAGACTTTGAACAAGTGAATCTTAACTCTTAAATGTGTCTTTTCTACCTAAAGGGTGGTTCTTGCAATACCACAAGGAAAATGTTAAAAAGATTACTTAAACCAGACACTGAAAATATTATACTCCTCTCCCCCTAATCCTGCATTATTCTCGTCAGCCCACAGCGACAGTCGAGCTTCACATGCATCTGTGACCAGATTATTGACTTCATACTTAAGTGTTGTTGAGATAAATCACTCTCTCAAGAGGTGTGGAATGATCTCATAGGACCAAGGACAAGTCGTACAAATAACATCTGTTACTGTTAATAAATGTATATTTTACACATTAACTTGTCTTGTCTTTCAGTGTGACGCAGTCGGTGTTTTAGAAAAGGAACACGATTACAGAGACGAGCACTTTGATTTCATCCAGTCTCACATCAGACAATTTTGTCTACAATGTATCTTTTCCATTTGAAATAGTTTAATAGTGTTTCTGTTTACCTTGAAATGCATTAGTTGGATCGCATTATCTTTAACTCAATAATAAGATGGAGCTGGCTTGATCTACACCTCAGTGAAAGAAGAAAAGAATCTGGATTTGCTTTACAAATATATAGTTCATAAGTTGTATGACTTCCAGTTCACCACTCCGGCCTTAGTGGTGGAGAAAGATGCAGTGTTCATGTAAGTTACTGCCCACAATTCTAACAGTTTCTATACATGTGCATGTGTATATTTATGTGTATATATGTATATATATTTGTTTTAATGCCATCAGCCATTTCACATTGTTCTGTTTTTCAGTCCATGTGGATGGGACAATGAGAAGAAAATTGGAATTTTACATGAAAACTTGTCAACAGTTCGACCAGAAGATCCTTTTGAAGATTTTATTTCTAAACCTCCAGTTCGAAAAGTGCGTTGTTTTTTTGAAAATTGAATTGTATTGGTAGAGGTCAGGTTTTTTACCATTTGTCTCAATTTCAGCTGGTACATGACAAAGAGATCTGCTCGGAGGATGAGCAAGTTTTCCTCATGAAGCAGCAGGTGTGTACTGTAATGTTTTAACATGTTTGTGAAGTCTACCTTTCAGCATACCTGCTACACATACTGTACCGATTGATGAAATGTAAATCGTTGTAAGTCTTTTGTTTTTTTGCTTTGACAGTCGTTATTAGCAAAACAGCCTGCTACTCCGACAAGAGGAGCCACAGTGAGTGCCTTCATAGGGCGTGTTGTGTTTGATGTACAGGCTGACGTCAGTGCTTCTGTTGTAGGAGTCTCCTGCACGGACAGCCTCCGGTTCACCCAGACCTGCGGGACGGGGACAAACCGGTGTCTCGCCTGGGTCCATGGCTGCTGTCAAGAAGCCTGATCCAAACATGAAAGGTATAACTCAATGGTGCATCCGGGATAAGATTATTCATTAAGTTTAGTTTAGAAGTGCATCTACTTTTGATATTGTGATTTATATTTACAGACAAACATTTAAAGCTTTTATTGTTTGTAATTATAATTATTTCTAATGTCTGATGAAAACATAATCAAAGCTGTCATGTAGATCACTTCAGTACAATCTCTAAAAAGGATGCGATATGCCATGTCATTGTTTTTCACATGACTCCTGCACTGGCCTTTATAGTTGTGCCGCAGAACATCGCCTGAGGGGGGCAGAGTTTAGCACAAACTCTTTTTAATACATGACAATGCTGTATATCTGTTAATGATTGGTTGTGTTTCAATCATTTACAAATGTACAGCATGTGAAACATACAGCAATTATATATCTGTTTCTATCAAGTTCCTTGATGCTTTCTGCTGCGGTGAATTCCCTGTTTGAAAAGCAGAAGACCTATGTTCTAAAACTATATCTTGTATTTCCTGCAGCAGGTGCTGCCAATGAGGGAGTGCTGGCTAACTTCTTCAACAGTCTGCTGAGTAAAAAGACTGGGGCTCCCGGGAGCCCAGGGACTCCTGTAGGGGCTGCAGTACAAGGCACTGTCAAGAAAACAGGTACCATCTAAAGCCTTTTTTAACAAAGAAAACTACTGCTGTCACTTCAACATGTGCTCAGATGACTGTCTTTGAGTTTTCTAAATTAAAATGAAAGGAGAAAATGCCTTGAGTGAACCTCTGAACTCTGAGAAGTCAGGCCTGTATGATCTTTTCTCATCCACCCAGAAGGATATGACCCCGCATAACTCATACGCAGACCCAAACTAATTTTTAAAATATGTGAATTTAATCTTTAAAAAAAAAAAAGCCTTCAAATCTTGATTTTTGGTTTGAAGGGGTTGATTAGCCTTGCTTTGTCACAACTACTACTGTGCATGAGTTCTCCATCCTCCTTTTAACTTGTAACCATAAAGCTAATACCATAAACATTTGAGCTTGGGATAACTCATCTGCATATTTTCTAACCATATTTTCTAACTTGGGTTCCATTCCCTGGAACCCAAGCTGAAACATTCTGTGAATGCTCTAGCATGTGTATTATCTGTGAGTATGTTTACAAAGCTCCATTTGACTGTCTCAAACTGTTTCTACTGCATTTGAGGTGGCATGTAAACCGGATACTACTGAGACACAAGCAGCTGATACGTTTAAAATCCGAGATTATATTAGAAATGTATATATTAGTATTATATATTATAGGCTTTTGTCTTATTGATCACTGCAATAAATCAACACTCTCTCGCCACACGTGGTTCTTTTTTTACGACACACAAGTCAAAAGCAGGAAACATGATGCGTTTAATTGCACTGCAGAAACCAAGTGACTTGTGCTACTACAGTTGAGCTTGTGTGAAACAGAAGCTCAACTGTGAACAGAAAACATGCAATCGCTAGGGCACAAGTATGAGGCGCCTTTTTGAAAGCGTCACAAGGCTCCATCCGGTCGAAGGGGTTTCAAAATAAAGCTGAAGAGTCTGTTTTTAGGATGTTCTTAAGCTTTGTAAACGTCCTCTGTGCCAATGACCACCATTTTCAGCATGGGATATTAACCCCGTCCATTCCCTGTCCGTCTGCGTGTGTTCTCATCTTAGACACAGAAGCTACAGGAGATTACTTTTGCTCTTTTTTTGTCTCCCTGTTTTCCAAGGGCAGAAGCCGGGTTTGACTGACGTCCAGGCGGAGTTGGACAGGATGACACAAAAGCAGGACTCCATGGTTTCAGCGAACAATTTAACGCAGCCAGAGAATGAAGCGTGAAGGCAACAAACCGGCTGCATCATCCACCGCGTTAATTCTCTGGAAGATAAATGTATGTGTGAGGATTCAAAATGACCAAATTCCCAATTCTTGTAACGGAGAGCACACAGTGGTTTGGACATGAGTAGAAGAGGGCGACGGAATGTGATGAAGGAAGAGGAGCGGAGGTTGGGGACACAGGTGTGGATGAGCTTGGCTTTACTCCTGTCCTCTCGTAAAACTCTATAATGTCTTTTTGCGAGAGATGTCACTTATGGAAATGTGTGCACACTCCCTGGCATCGGGCCTGAAGCGCTGGGCTGCTAAGGTTAAACCATTCTCTCCCAGGAAAATGCCTACGATCCTGTGGCTTCTGGTTAATCTTAAGTTATGGAAGGAATTTAGTTCTTATTGGAAAGGTATTTAAACAAAAATCTTACTATTCACTTAGAAAATACAATATTTGCAAGCATCTGTAGTATGTAAAAATGTTGGATATACTTATGTATTTATACAAAGTTCTTTTTATTTTATTTGTGTTCAGTTTATTGGTTCAAACACTCATCTGTATAACAAATGCCACTGATGTCATGACACTAATGACTTGTCCAGTCAGTGCACCATATCACCATCTCAAAGGATCCTTTACATATACTTTGGAAATCTATTCAGGTGAACGTTGACAAATCAAGGATGCAATTCTTTTTAGATTCAGCTTAGACTAAATTAGGTGATAGACCGGAGTTTGCAACGAAATGACGTGTTTATCAAGAGAGAACTGGGCAGCGTCTTTCCTACGATTACTCCCAAGTGCCTCGGCGAGTTGATTTGTTTTGTCGTTGTGGAGGTGCTTTGAGGAAATGCACTGTAGTGATATCGGTTAATGACCTTATCTCGTCATACAAATAATTTATTTATTTTTACATTGTCAATGAGCAACAAGCCTGTGGTCTTTTATTTGGAATCTGTAGATTGGATGTCTTCAAGCTAACTGCTGAGGCTGTGTTATAAGAAAAAACACTTGGAACCACTTTTCAGCCAATCAAATGTGTTCATTAGCTATAGGCAAAACCACGATATGACAACGTAGTATTTTGCAGCTTAGGGTTTCTCCACACGTCTCATACTGTACCCGGCATGATATTGAACATTCCCAAATGATGTAGCTGCTGTATGAACCTCAGCATACATGTATTATGCTGTGTTTGATTTTGCTCTTGCCTTCACTGCTCAGTTCGCAACACTGATACTTTGCCTTGCCTCTTTTGATAATATGTATTCTTGAATGGTTATTTCTTCTTTTCCTGTCATTCTTAACGATGATATCAGCTGTAAAAGATGTACAACGGCATAAAGTCAGTTTGGATCACACTCACTCAAACGCTTAATCCTATGGATGGTAAGTGCCTCTTTCTTGAAAATAAAGCCAGAAGGAGTACACCATTTTTATACAATTGTCGTGAATGACATAAAACCAAAGAAAGATCTAGGTAAAATCTTCTGTGTTGCATCCATATGATTAACCATTTGTCATCATGCTTGCACAGAACCTGGCCACTCAAGGCCTTGGTCTGCTTGTGCTGCTCCCATTACAATAAATAGTTTTGAATCAGAGTACTTCAGGTGTTGTAAACTACCAGCTTGGAATGCGTATGCAAAAACCAGCCAGAACATCTGTATTGTGATGTATAATTTCCCATTGCTTGAGCACTTCTTTATCCACCAGCTTTTGAAAATATTTTTTTGTAGTGGGTCACACATCAGAAATACTGCCCCTTAAGTGGAAGCACAATTTAAACCTTTTGGAAGTGGCACCGTCAATTTAGCACTTTTCCATGGCTCTTTACTTTGCCCTTAACATACTTTTGTTTTTCTTTTGCCTTACTTTTTGGTTCATTTTCTGTGATATGTTTTATGCCTTGCTCTCAGTGACATTATGTTAATGCATTTTCCTTTGAAGCCTCTTGAAAAGTGCTAATATTGATGATTATTTTCACACAAGACACAGGGTTAGTGTTGAACAAGTTCTAAGCCCTTTATTTTGATTTATTTTTACATCTGTACATTTGTTTACTCTTTATCCAGTTGTTGCATGGCCACTCGCTGCTTAATTTCTTTGTAAGAAGTCACCCCTGATTTTACCATCCATGTATACTTTATGCATTGGAGCCACTACTGTTGAATTTGGCATTTACCTGAGCAGGATGGCACTCCCATTCTGTGTCCTTTTTGAAAAGTTGCACAGTTTTGACCCTCATCATCTTATACTGATTGATAGGTTGGAAGGAAACTCTTTTCACTCCCTAACTCGATTGCCTTCCACCACTATTGACTGGTATGGTATCTACACGTAATCTAACGGGCCACCAGCGCTTGCTTCAGTCTGATTATTAAGAAAAAGTCTATTGTAAGCCCATGGCTGCTTCTCTGTCCTCAAGGTTGATTGTAAAACAGGAGTCGCTTGTCAGCAGCAGCCATGTGGATTCTAGCTTCTGCTATAAAGACACCATGTTATTCGGATCCCTGGCTTCAATAAAACCAAGAATATAAATCCAGTGTGTTTCTTTTTTTAAAGCTGTAACAAACGCGCACTTTTGTGTGTTTTTATCTTTTATTATTGAAGTGGTGTTAATGGGGAAATCCTTTTTAGCAACGCTTTATTTCAACTCTTATTTGTCGACACTGATGGCTCTGATAAATGTGGTACTATTTGTGTTACAGAGGAGTCAGGCGCTTTTATATTTCAAATGAGAAGCTTAGCCCTTATTCCTCAACAGATGGATGTACCAAATCATGTCTGCTCCCTGGGAGTTCCTAGGGAGGGGGAAAGTTGAGAAACTTTGGTGCCACAAACTATCTACTGTGACCTCTGCAGTAAGATGATGTATGTACCAGTCTAAATCGTATTTAAAGATGTGACTGACTATGCCTAGTTCACACATACATTATTTAAAGTAAAGCTCTTGTAAAGCCAGGAACTAGTTGACAAGGTTTTGAAGCCATCTGGTTTGAAATATTGTATTTCAGTCAAACGACACAAGACAGAAGTGCACGTGTGCAGTGAAGTTGTGTATGCCACCCATAGACTGGTCACATGTCATTACAGCAAGTAAACAGTGGAGGGCAGCAAGTTCCAGAAATATTCAGGGTAATATTGATTTGAAATACATAATACTGTTGAAGATGTTGCATGACGCTACGTTAAATGTGAAATATTCCTTAGGGGACAGTGACATTTGATCAAACACGTCTCATGTTTTCTTATAATCATAGACTGTACATATAATACAACACAGTAGTAAACACTTAAATCTCATTTGTTTTCCTCTGTAGACCCTTGGCCACTATATTAAAAAGCATTCCTTATTTGCAAGTGGATATACAAATAGTCTACACATGACAGTGATTTTAATGAATTGCATGTTATATCCATGATCGCCATGACTCCATTTGAACTAATATGGATGAAAACTGCGACTATACTCCTCTGCATGCTTGAAGTTGACCATATCCCCCCTTTTTCCTCAGCGTGGTTCTGGTCTGGTTAGTTTTGCAGCCTAAACTGGCTCACATCCTTGTACAAGAATGTGGCCTTTCTGGAGGGGCGGAGACAAGCTGGCTGTAAAGGTTCCATCCGCATCTATAACCTGGCAGACCGCGCACGCAGCTCACACACAAGTTGTCATGGGTAAACGTCACGTCACGCACATTACGTCCCTCGGTGTTCTCAAGTCTGCGTGAGAGGACTTTTTTTTTTTAGCGTGTGCTTGTGGTGCGCTACAAGTGACTTCACAAACACAGAGAGAGAGAGAGAGAGAGATTTTGCTGTAGATCAACCCAGCGCTCACACGGGGGAGGACCAGGGAGGACGCACGGACTCAAAGCAGGCCACCGCTATGAAAAAGCGCACGTTTGGGAAATAGTGGAGCGCTCCAGTAGAAGTCCTCATCCATGGAACAGCGTGTGCGTTCTGACACCTAACTACGCTGGACTCTATTTTTGCAAGGCTTGCTTTTTTACGCCCTTAACTCGGCCCGGGGGATTGTCCAAAAAGCCATCATGAGGAGCGCAGAGGAGGGGGACGCGTTTGACGGCGAGGCCTCCAATACTTCCATGATCTCTGGAGCCAGCAGTCCATACCAGCCCACCACTGAGCCCGTACACTCACGCAACATGTTCTGGGGACTCAGGTTTAACATGGAGTACCTCAAGTCCTACTTTGGGATCCTGAAGGTGGTTGAAGTGGTAAGATTTTTATAACACTATACATAATTGACAAAAAAAACACACAACCGCACTATTGTATTGGCTTGAGTTTCCACTTCAATGAATGAATGCAAAACAAAGCATGCGCGGATGCTGCTAGTTTCAGGTTACACCTACTCTGCAAGTCATAGTAGTGGCCTCCTATTGTGAGAGATCGCCATGTGTTGTAAGCATTGCAGAAGCCTGGTAACTGTTTGGCCAGTGGTAAGCAGTCACAGAAAAGTAAATATTTCATTAGGTTGACATTTTCCATTCACATAATACAGTTGCTGTCAGTTGAGTCATAGTTGGTGACACAATGGGACCCGTCTAGGCACATTTTATCAGAGCAAATAATACTAATTTATTATGCTGTTGTGCTATTATACAGTTTCAAAGCTTTCCGATGAAAAACATGGTCATACGGTTTGTTCTGTCATTGTAAAAACCCCACAAACAGAGCCCAATGTCTTCAGGTCATTTTCCCCACTGCACTAATTGTTGTTATTTTACCCAAAGTTCCAGACTACACACTGGAGATCCCCAACCGGAAAACCAGTACATCTCAAGATCTTAGGAAACCAGCAATTATGTCCAAATGCAGGGGGTTAGAATAAGCACACAAAAAGAATACATAAGCAGAAGAAATGCTCCGTACAAACAAGATTTTATTGTCTATGGTTGCAGGAACACAAGTTTACCTTCCTGTGTGCTGTGCAGGAAAATTACCATAAAGGACACCTGTTGTTTGAATGCATGTTGAGCAATCACCTGAATGCAGCGCAGTCAGCAAGCAAGCAAAAATATGTAATAATCAAAACACCATTCCTTGTTTTGTCACTGTTACTTCACTCTCATTTCTCGTATGAAGTTTTCCCAACGTTTTGAATTTGCATTGCCTCATTTGCATGTCAAAATGGCCTGTCTACAACCAATCCGAGCTTCAGAGGGAGAAGAAATTAGCACAAATGGACTGAAAGAGCATCATTCTGCATCTGTAAATCCTCCACATTCTCTTTGTATTCTCTCTTTGCCTCTCTGTTTATGATACAGTAAAGTCCCCCACCTGAGTATGTTTTTGTATGGAGTCCTTTCAGTGCTCTTCAGCCCTGTCATTTGCACTGCTGTCATTATTGCTCTTGAAAACGCTTTGTTTGGTTACAAAATATCATCCAACACCAATATTTCCAAAGCTAAAATACTGTGTACTTAGCCCATCATTCACAGCTCAGACATGTTAGGAATTCCAAGGTGATTTTTTTAAAATGTTGATTGTCACAGTGAAATTCTAATCAGAACAACAGCAATTCAATTCAATGTGTTGTTGTATAGCCATAAATCATATGAGTAGTTATCTCGGAGTACTTTACAAAACCGTCGATTCGCCAAGACAGATCAGAGAATCAAACTCGCTCCCACAACCCATCAGAAACTCAGTCTCACAACAGAACTTTCAATCACTGTTTCAGCTTGCCTTTCCTTAATTTTGTTCTTCAATGTTGATTTGTATGTGTTGTGTAACGCAAGAGCCATTGGTCCATAAGGGGCAGGTCACCGATGTCCATAAATATTGTTGAATGCTGAGTGACTTGGATTATTTCTAAATATATGGAAATAGCAATTTGAAGAAAGATTCTGCATCTGTGAGCTAATAATTCAACAAAAATAACTAACACTATACATTAATAAATCTAGGCTGCTTACGACACGTTTTATCACAGAGATAGGTGTATAAGGAGCCGCCTTTACTAGTGTCAATAACCATGATGGTACAGTGGCACTGCTGTTGATCATGCACATACATCTGTCACTCAGCTCGTCTAGCTAAATATATGTCTCTGTTTTAAATTTTTGAATGTCGACTCATTCAACTAAAACCACAAAATATGGTTATTGGGCTTTGTCATCAGACTCGTCCGCCGCTGGGCTGGTCAGAGAAAAGCCCCCAGGGGATGAAACCTGATGAAGGCGTGTCTGCTTTGACCACTGCTCTTTGTCTCGTTGATACTTTTACAACAAGGCCCAATTGAGACACAACTGCCCACCTGCTTCTACTATGACCCCGACAGGACTCTAAAAATAGAGGTTTGAAGATAAGAACAATTTTGCAATGGAAGAATGAATTCATTTTGTTTTTTACCCCCAAATCTCACTACTAAATGGGGAATACAGTTCATCAAAGCCTAATGGAATTGTGAGATGTATATAAAAATACAAGCGTACAATCTCAAATGTATTCTAGAGCGTTGCAGAGATCTTACTTTTTAACAGGGTCTATCTACCACCACACCGCAAAATCCATCTCAATGTGTATTGTTATCTATTCATTTTTATTTTTCTCACAACAAGAAGGGATCTGAATGTTCCATCCTTATAGGTTCATATCTGGATGGATCAAAATAAAAAAGCACTAAGCCGTGAGTGCACAAAATAGTGAGTGTGTGACACAAACAGTTACTTCGCTAGAGGAGTTACATTGAAAAGTCAAAGGGAGTAGAAGCGTGTTGGATAATCTCTTAATATGTAATGTTCATTACCTATTGATTCATTCGTGTATCCTGCTGGACTAGCAGACGCTCTAAATGCATGCTTCTTTTTTGAGGAAAAATCCACTCCAATGACAGCCGCTTCCGTATCACTCTATAGTTTTTTCTTGATGAAATGGTTTAAGAACCCTTTCTTTCTCAAGTTGAGCAGCCTGCGGTCTAAACAGGCCTGACTTGTCTGCAACACATTCAAACACATTAATCCATAATAACACTTGTTTGGCGTGACCACCACGCCTCGAGGCTGTGCTATATCCTGCACATGCGGTAAATGTGGAACATATTGTGGCTTAATCTTTACAGTTCGGATTTTCTCGCCCGATACTTTAGGAGAGACAGATGGTGCGTAAGGCGGCGATCCAAGTTCAAGATGATGAAAGAGGAAGCCAATAAACTGCATAAGCTTGCAGTATAGATGAGAATAGGATCATGGCTGGTTCATTCGCTCACACACGAGCCAGAGTTGGGAGAAAAGGTTGTACAAAAATCATTATTAACCTGCTTGTTTGGATTAGTGGTTATGATCCTCTTGTGGGACGTAGGCACACCTGCTGCAGGGATTTGGGGAAGGATTTCTTAAACAGAGATGACCTCATCAGCCTACAGACCCCTCAGCACTGGATGAAGCCTCTTGAGTTACATGTGTTTTATAAACTGGAACCCCACATACATTCTAGACACATGGTTGAAGATCTGGACATTGAGAAAAAAAAAATAGTGAAAAGTGCATTACAGGCTCTGTGTAACGTTTAGGCTGGAGAAATGCTTTGCCTTAGTTAAGATCTAAGGAGGGGCAACTCCCCAGTATGTACGAAATAACAAAACAAGTATCTCTGCAAGACAAGTATGCTATTTTAAACTCAATTTCAATACTAGAAAAAATACTCCCTAATTTCAATTCTCTCCAATTTCAATTCCTCTGTGATTATTTATAAATATTCTTTTTTGTGTGACAATTTTGGAAATATGTTTTACTCACAATACTACATTCTTTCTATGGAGTCACAGGGTTTTTAGACACGTTATTCTGATATAGTTTAAAATGTATACAAACAATGCTCAAGAAATGTTGAATTCTGTCCTGTTTATGTACCGTAATTATAAAAACAATGTCATATACTTTTGCTAATATATAGAGGATCCCCCACAAGAACACAGGCTTTACTCTAATTATTGACTTACCTTTAAAAGACCCACAAAAATCAATTAGCACTAAATGGAAAGTACATTTAGATTGGATATTGGCTGTTTGCACCTGAGACCTTATGCATCTACACTATACATCGTTACCCATTCTCGCCTGGTGTCTTTTATTTGCGCTTTATTATTTAGACATCTATTAAAAACTGTGAAATATGGCCACAGTCTGCAGTCATAACGGTATTAAAGTATTGTTCCGTATCCATAATTGCCTTCTTTGTGTTTAAATGTTGTTAGTCTGAGCACAATCTGAGCTCAGCCAAGAATGCAGCTCAAGGCCTTTTCCTGCTAATATCACTTAAACATTCAAACACATGGAGAAACAGTCATAATACAATTCAGATATGACTGAGCACACTAGGTCAAGAGAAATTTGTTTGATTTTACCAAAAAAAACAGGAAGTTAATTAGTTTTAAATGTACAATTTCAGACACATGTCCTTCCTTACCACATGAGGTCTTAGGTTAAAGGGGCATATTATGTAAGGGTTTTAGAATATTTCAGATTTCAAACAATACTCCTTGCTCATTGGAGGAGCAGCACAAGCTTCCATGAGGACAGGCAGATGGATGGACAGAAAGATAAATACTGTACATACATACAGTAGATATATAGATACATATAGTAGATACATACATACATACATACATACATACATACATACATACATACATACATACATACATACATACATACATACATACATACATACATACATACATACATACATACATACATACATACATACATACAGAGTAGATAGATAGATACACATATAGAGTAGATAAGTAGATAGATAAATACATGCATACAGTTGATAGATATATAGAGTAGCTAGATTGATAGATACATGTATAGAGTAGCTAGATATATTCTTATTTTTATTTCACCTTTATTTAACCAGGAAAGTCCCATTGAGATTAAGAACCTCTTTTTCAAGGGAGTCCTGGACAGATATAGAGTAGATAGATAGATACATACACACAGTAGATAGATAGATAGATAGATATATAGAGTAGATAGATACATACATACAGTAGATATATAGATATATAGAGTAGATAGATACAGTAGATAGATAGATACAGGTAGATATATAGAGTAGATAGATACAGTAGATAGGTAGATAGATTTTTATTTATTATAGTGTCTTGCATACAAGGATGCCCAGCCCACATGGGCTTATAAGACACCATTTATGCAAATACAGAGACACAGGCCAACATCCGGCACATACACCGAATCATACAACAAAATCATAAACAAAATTGAACACAAATGCTCTCATTTAAATAGATGAGACTGCCACTTCTTCCAAGCTTTACTTGAAAATTAAGACACTTTAAACACTTGATTTTCAAATAAAATTTTTATCTTGTCATAATCACTGCCCCAAAACAAATCAGGATCCCGGGAGAACGTTTCATAAAACAACACATTTCTAAATTCATCATAAAAAGGACAATATAAAAAAAAATGCACTTTACTTTCCACTTCATTGAGTTCACAAAATACATACTGTATGATACATACAGTAGATAGATAGATAGATACACACATACAGCAGATAGATAGATACATAGATACTGTAGATAGATAGATACATACAGAAAACAGATAGATGGGTAGATAGATCAGTTGTCCAGCAGCAGAAATATGAATGAACATCAGGATGAGTTGCCGCAAACCTTGTCACTTTGGGGGGGGATTTTCTCTCCCAGTGCATGTTTTGTGGCATACTGTCAATACCTCCAACAACTACAGTTTGGGTGTGTCTTTTGGCGGCACGGTGGTACTGCGGTTACAACTTTCGCTTCACAGTAAGAAGGTCCTGGGTTTGTTTCCACCACCAGGCCTTTCTGTGTGGAGTTTGCATGTTCTCCCTGTGTCTGCGTAGGTTTCCTCCGGGTGCTCCAGTTTCCCTTACCACTAAAAACATGTAAAATAGGTAAGAATGTAATGAGTTAGTGAATGCTTATGTCATCACTGTGAATAGAGAATGGAAAAAATATCTGAACTCTCAACAATTGTAAAGTGCTTTGGTAGGAAACATGTGCTATAGGATTAAAGATGACTCACTTACTTTGGGAAGTTTGAGGCATGGTTTTTGGACTTCTTTCACCCAAACTCTTATGCAATGTAACATCAATATTGTCCATTCCTTCTGTATACAGTATTAAACATATATTATCTGTATAGACTCCCCTTTCTAACGTCTCTGTGTGCGATCCGCAGGTCCTGTCGCTGATCAGCTTCATCTGTATAGAGACCATCATGCAGTGTTCTCCCTGTGGAGCCATCTATTTCTTTGAGTTTGTGAGCTGCATCGCGTGTGTGGTGACCAGCATCCTCCTCTTCATCTTCTGCCTCAGTCTGCACACCAAAGTCCCCCAGATCAACTGGAACCTCACTGTGAGTATGGAGTTAAGGTTAGGGAATAACTTTTGCAAACTGAAACCTCTAAATGTGCATTAGGAGAGATAGGAGATTATTGTGTCGTGGTCATAAGATGTTTCCCAAACATTAGTCTGTTTTGTCAATAAAGTAACCTTAGGAAATGTCCACTCACTCGATTGCCATAAGACATGATCATTGCTTCTTTCTATATTCTCATCTTTTTTAGTTTTCTGGACTTAGGGCAGTAACTATAATTTGTTGTTGAATGTATTGTAAATGTTCTAAATCAGTTTCAGTCATGACTAAGAGTTTTTGGGTCTCTTTCTATTTCTACTGTTTTGCAAATGAGAAATATGGTAGTTTTAAAACACGGTTAATTAAAGGCCAAATAAAGACAACAATGAAAATATGCATAATTATTACAGTTTTTTAGGTAATATCTAGTGAGTAATTAAAACTGGGATACATAACTATTTTTCTTCATAAATAATACATTTTGTTGTTCCAGCAGAAAGAAAAAAAAATACATATTGTCAACAAATCAGAGCACAACTTGGGCCTTTATCTTTTTCTCATGAGAAATTCCCTTGTAAGAAGAGTCACTATTTGACTATTTGAGCTGTGATTGGCTGAGTGAGGATGGTTTCACTTTTGTTTCTGAAAAAAGCTGATCTAAAACAGAAAAAATACATGCACGTGAAAACAAGTGATGGAATCAAACTGGTTTAGAGCCAGGAACAAGTCACATGGATTTAGTTACATTTGGGTAAAATGAGGTTTGAAAGTTAGGTACCCCAGCTTTAAAGTAGACCATACACATATAACTGTACTAGTTTTGAAATATTGTGACATGTCCCCTATTAGTCGACCGAATATTTATTTTCTAAACAATAGCTCTAGACTTTACAAACAAATAGAATGCTGGAAAAACATTTTCAGAGAGAGAAACATCAGATGGATTTCATTATTGCAATATGTCACTTTAGTATTTGGGGGAAGGAATAACATTAAAAAAGGACCACCCTTGAAACAGAAACAGTATTTTTTGTTTGATATTATAACTATTGTGAGATGAGAATGTCAGTTTAGTTGGTTATTTTTTTTCATGCAGCCGTTTGTTGCATTTTTGGCATATATTTTGATGCATTCTCGATTTGCTTTGCTTGCTTCACGCCACGGTGTACAATAAACTATAGCAGCATCACTCATTATCTCTGTAGAATGTTGTGGCCCCCAGGTGATGCCAGAAACGTTGACTTTTATTGTACAACATGATGACTCTTGGTTCGGGACTATAGTCGTGTGGCTTCCATTTCATTGCGCGGAGGATCTGCATTGTCAGCTGGAAGAGAAAGAGCTGGTGGGCGATCTCTGGCACAGACCGGCTGAGCTTTGCCTACATGTGTGCGCTCCTGGAATACACGGACTGCAGAAACGGTGGAAAAATACCATTAAACTGAAATTCAAGAGACCGCAGAGATTATACGCTGTACTTAGAAACCAATGGATGTCAGGCATGTGTCCATATCCTACCGTGGGGATCGGATTGCTGCTACATATTAGAATGTGAAGACAAAAACACGACTACACAATGAATCTTAGGGTGAAAGGTTAACATTATGAGACAGAGACTTTACTAGGGCTGTCGACCCAAATATTTACATGAGAAAACAGGAAAAAGCATGCTTGGAACTGAAATCTACTTCATTGAGCCATCTCTATCACTTGGTTTTAGGCACTTTTACCATCAAAGTGCATCTCAACCATTTTGTATAGGCCTATAGTTACAAAACTAGTTGGTTATTAAAAAATACTGAATATTTTTTGTTTTTAGTTCTCCTACATCCTAGAAAAAATATATTGCTTTCTTCAAGGAGTGAGCATTAAAGGGTTAAGGCTGAAAAAAAACATTGTTAGCTCTTTTTGTAGTTTTACACAGAGTTAAAGCTGAGCTACATAACCTTTTTGATTCATATATGTTACATGATGGTGAAATTAGACCACAACCGTCTTCACTTGTAAAGAAAGCATTTAACAATCAGTTTTCTTGTAAAAAAAAAAGAGCCCTATTAGACGCTTTGGGCTGAGCGAGGGCGGTTGTCTCTTTTTCACTTTCTTGACTGAAAAAGTGATTTTATAGATGACAAACATGAATGCAAGTGAAGACTAGTGATAGAATCGAATAGCCAGGAACAAGATACATGGATTTACTATGTAACTCTGATGCGTTACCATGGTAATTCCACAATGCGAAAACCCAAACTGTTACTTTCTGAGTTGATATAGTGCAGAACTTTATATGAAATTAGTCAAAAGTTGTTGATAACCCTGTCTTATAGAGAAGCTATTTTTTGTTTAATATATACTGTATTATGGGGGTTGGATCAAATAAGTTTTTCTTCTTCCTAATAAAAAACCAAAACAAACACATAATTTTGTTACCTGGTTTAAAATGAGCTTTGAAAGTTAGATACTCCAGCTTTAAAGTGGCTCCGACACTAATAACTGCAATCGTTCTTAAAATCTTTTGACATGCCTTCTTTTGAACTATCTCATTGCTAAACTACAGCTCAGGACAAATAAATAAAAATCTATTGAAGTTTTCAGGTAGAGGTAGAACTCTCCGACACGTCTGACAATAGTGTTTTTCTTCTTCTTTTCCACTCCAGCACTTTGTATTCAATAGTAATTTACATTCTATTCCTGAAAATAGCTTAAACAATGTATTATTTTTATCACCAGCTGGTATTATCATGTTGGACTGCTGTAATTGAATACTATCCTTGCCATCTTTGAAGTGAGTAATGAGCTTGTTCTTGGATGCAGTGTGGGCTGTTGTACTCCATGCTGTTTTTATCATGTTCAAAGCTGAACCAGTCACTTCAGGCATTTGGGAATTTCACTATTAGATTTCCTGAATGCTCTGTTACCATTTACTCTGCAGCTCTCATCCGCATTGAAGTCTGTGTCTGAAGTCTTTGTCGTTTCATGAACAGAATTCACTAAATATTTAGATTTTGCCGCTTGTGGGTACAGTACAGTTTCCAATAACACTGTGTGGCTGTGTCTTTTGTAGATTGGAGAAGCGGGAAAACAAACATTATTTATGATACATTTTTGCCGTTTTGAACTTATGCTGTGCGCTTTTCGGTGAATACATGCATACTAATACAGTTGCTTTTAGTGCCATTTATACACAATTTGTTGCTATTTATTGTGTGACAAAACTTAATTCTTTTTGTATTAAAATGCTCATTGGTGTCTTTTGTGATTAAACTGCCAGAAGAGTGTTCTACGTGAGTTCTATATACAAACTATGATTAATGACAAAGTAGCCATTTGTACTTGCCATACAACTCTGGTTATTTCAAATCACTTTTGTCATATACAGTATAATAACTTCAAGTGCAGTCCAGGAAAGCTGAAGTTAGATTACTTTTGTCAACCACCCAAGTCGCCCAAGTATGTAGTAGACGAGAGAATTAACCCATGTATGTTTCCCTCCACAGCTTTTCACTCAAATCTTATTCTCAAAATATAAAAATTCTTTCTCAGACAAACCAAATATTGTTCCCTTCCAAAAACCAGGGATATATTCTGAAATGTTTTGACTTGGTTTTAAAATGATTCCCTAATTGTTTTTGCAGGTAGCGAGGAAATTGTAGAAATAACAAAAGAGTCCATAACCCACTGATTCCCGGTTTTGTGTGTGTTGTTTGTGGTTTTCCGGTCCGCTGCTCTGGTTAAATGGTGGAATGTGGAGTAAAAAGTAAAGTGAGACTGTGTGGATTATTTCTGCTCCACTGCAGGACGCTGGACTGTGAGCGCGAAGAGTTCCTGTTGGACTAGTTAGTCCGCTCAAACAGGGATGTGCATTGTGCATGTGGACAAACTCATCCGAATAGCTGTGGGCGGAGTCTGGGAGGATTACACTTTTGGATTAGTGAGGACAATGGCTTAAAGTTGGTTAAATGTTATTTATTACACAGTCAAAGTCCACCTCTAAAGTCATAAAACGCTCGAGTTCAGTTGTGACTCACATTATACATTTACAGCTATGTTTAACTCTGATATTTGCCTAAAACACTCGGACTCCCAGAATTCTGAAACTATACTAGAATTCCAAGAACAGTCATTTTGATGGCTCCCAGAAACCCAAATCAGTAACAAGTTTAGTTCTCAGCTTGTTTTATTAAAAGTAAGTCATTCACAACGTTCTTTATCTTTAAGAAGTGCTAAAACTGGTGAATATACCTTGAAATACTACAAGAACAAGCCTATGAAAGTATAAAAGATATAGATAAACAGTGTGTTGCTATGGGAACGAGCACTTTTTCTTCTGTGGTGGAAAAACGAGCTGACTCAACTCAGAACCAGCCCAAGAACATTGCCTTGGAGAAAAGTGGCTCTACCTGCCATAGAATCAAATGGAGCGGTCAAAACGACAGCTCTGGGACTTAAAGGTAGAACTTTGAAATAAAATTAAAAAAATACATAGAAGTAAACTACACATAGACAGAAACAGTCACAAAGTTATGAAGACCAGGAATGTACATGCGCTGAGTAATTACACTTCCAAAACTAAACGCCCATCAAATTTTCTGCTGGGAGTTCTCGTGTTAAAACTTGCTTTGAGGTTTAGTTGGTTAGCTTTAATGCACTTTAGGGTGAACTATAAATCCAGAAAAACCATTGCAATCCTCATTGAGTGTCATATGAGAGGTCGCGTCTCCCTCCATTAGCATCAGGCTTGTGGTCACGAGGTCCTAACCCCGGTCATGCTGTGCACTTCGTTATGGGCCCTTCCTCCCTTTTTAAAACTGCCCTGTTTAAAGCTGTGGTGCAGGACTTCAAAGGGAACCCTGTCTCATGTAAGAAAGTCAAACAGACCTGATGGATGCAAAAGTATTGAAGAGTTACACCTGCTCTTGTGTGGTGCAAAAGTGTGTCTGTACTGAGCGACATGGGCTGACCTGACCCTCCTTGGGCCCTCCACTGATTTTCTAGGTTGTGTTCAGTGCCAAAATAATGACCAACTAAATCAGGGAATAGACATGGCATTATAACGACGGCCACCCACCAGCAGGACTTGAAAATATGTACACTTGATAGTTTACCCAAAAACAATGTCTAGTTTGTTACTGCACATGTCTGAATTCTTTCTATTTATGACCAAATACATAGCAACTTACCACGAATGGGAAATATGTTGTCAAAATGATGAATTCTGTGCATGAAAGTCTACTTGAGCCCTGTAAGTCAGAGGTTCTCAGGTTCTTTTCAGTTGAAGATTACTGTGTTGATGATGACAAATCACTAGTGGAAACCAGGTCCCTCTCCTATAGTCCAATTTAATCCGATTGAGCGAGACCGAAGCCGTATGTTGAGATTCATCCCATTCACATTTGCATCTTTCTGAGCTGCTCTCTAATTCTAATGTTTGTGTTTTGTTGTAGGACCTGGCCAACACAGCCATCAGCACCGTGTTTTTCTTCCTCTGCTCTCTGGTGTTGGCTTTTGTCAATCACAGCACAGGAGCAGAGATAGCAGCTACGGTGAGTGAGCAACACGTCCCATTTCACAATGATCAGAGGAATCAGCACTCGGAATGTTGTTGTGTTCTTAGGCAAGACACTTCACCCACGTTGCATAGAATGTGTCTGGTTCATGAGTGAGTGGTTGATGGTGGTGGGAGGGGCTGATGGCACATACTGGTTGCCTCGCTTATGTCAGTGTGCCCCAGGGCAGCTGTGGCAACACAAGTACCACTTTGTATGGAGTTAATGAGTAATGACATGAAAAAAAGCAAAAAAAGCGCTATAAAAGCCAATAAAAACAATGAAGCTTTGGCCTCTGCTAACTTAGTGACTAATTATAAGTGGGAGCAATCTTTGCACAGAGAACAATCAAACTCCAAAATCTGCCTACTTCTGTCTTGGTAACTAACTATAAAGGAAAGTATAGCTATTGTGTGAGGAGTTTTAACAATGTCACTCTCACAGCTGCAGCAGACTTTACTGAAAATACATTTAGGGACCTGTAACGTCCAAAATGTATCGTGTAAACGTGTAAAATGTTTGGAGTTGAAGCTGAGCCTGGTTCATCACATAATGCTGGATTTGACTGGAGATAAAGAGGGGTAATTATTTTTAAATCCAAATAAAGATGTATTCCTTTAATTTTCTGGATTTTTTTTGGGAAATGTTTCCTTCATACATTGACAAATCTGTTTATACACATATTTGGGCTATATTGTATTTGTCAGTTGTTGAGGTCATATAATGATACTGGTGTTTTTACTCTTTTACTGGAAAAGAGAAGCTTTGAAAATGTAACCTATTGGCTAATAAAAAACTAAAACAATAGAGTGATATCTCCAGACGTTCCCAGCACATTGAATCCTCTTGTTGGTAACAGTCGTGCAGCCCGTAAAACTATAAACTCTCCCCTGTGTTGCAGTTCTTTGGCTTCCTGGTTACGGTCGTCTATGGCGTCAACACCTTCCTGGCGGTTCGAAGGTGGCGCCGTGGCAACACCAGTCAGGGCGGAGCTCCGACCAGCGAGTACATGAGAGCTCGCACGGCATCCAGAGGCGAGATGGAGCCTCGGCCTGAACTGGTTTGACACTTTTGAGAATGAAAGAGCTCACTCCCGGCAGCTGGCTGAAAACTCTCACGCCTGCGACCCAGGAGAAGGACACCGCGCTGGGGATATTGGTTGAAATACTTTATAATGTTGAGATCCAGCTCTGTTGTTTCTGCAAAGCCAAAGAAAGACTGCCCCCTGTGCATCGAACTTACTGTGAATGACAACGTATTAAGACCATACATTGATTACTTTTGATAAGCTCTTGGACCAAACTGAAGAAAACACTAAATCTTTTGGATTGCTGTGCGAGAAAATGTATTGATTTCCACTTTTATTGTATTGTTTTTTTTTTTTTTTACCCCATACCGAGTTTCACTGTGGACTCTACACTTTGTATAGTTTTTGAAGATTTGATTTCTGTCTGCATTGCCTCAGTCTTTTTTTCAATTATTGCACAGGGTTAATAGACAATCCACATGGCACAAGACATTATTGTTATGTTGGTAAGGCGCAAACTTTGAACAATTTCTTGAGACGTATAAGAAAACAAAACAAACACTATCAATTTTTTAAACTTCAGTCATAGGGTGAATATGTCTTTACTTGTTGTAGTGCCTTAAACACAAATCTGAACGCTCCACTCACAAACAGTTTATAAATTTTCCTCATTAATCTGTCTAAGAAAACTATCCACAATGATTTCAGACAAAACACACTCTCATGATGTGTCAGTTATGAATGATATTGTTCATAAATATGTAATTTGTACGCTATATTTAATGTTTGTCCTTATGTAAAACTTGACCCAGTTTGAATACACGTGCTCTACAGCTCCACCTGCTGGTTCCTTTGTGGGGTCTTCATACTTGAATGTTTCATGTGTCACGTGGTCCACACTATGTACTGCAGTTGTGACCTGCATTTTGGTTTCACAGTGGCAATAGAACCACCCACTCAATAGCATCATGGTTAGACTTATTTATAACGTCCTGGACCAAATATTTCTGAATGACAATCACACTGTGTAATATTTTGATCAAAACTTCAATAAAACCTGATTCTGTGTCAACAAAGGCAGTGTGTGCGGAAAAGCTGCAGGTCTATTTAATTAATATATTTTCATTGTGCTTTGGTAGTGTAATCTAAAATAAATGAATTTCAACTTTATAAAAATGTTTTTTTGTTTTTTACGTTTTATTAAAGTTTCTCCCACACAACAAATGCACATATAAAAACCATTGAGTCCCCCGTACAATTACTGCAATACAGTCAGTCCCTGTGGCATTCATAACAAAAGCATTGAGGGTTATTCAGACATTCACACACTGTTTATAATTGATTCTGCAAATAAAATGTGGAGAGAATATTGTAGCAGTTGTTAACATGTGAGGCGCAGTAAGAGGCCGTGGAAACAAGAATATAAAAGATTAGGTTGTAACCAGCCAACCTACACCGTGGCCTCTAATCACTTCAAAAGTACCTGATTTACACACAGTCTCTTTGGCGTGGGCCGGTCAGTGCTTGCACCAGGCCAAAGACGTCACAGTTTCATATGAAAAGGGCGAGTGGTACAATCCAAACATTTGTGACTGAAGCTGGTTTTCGTTCAGTACCGTGTTTTCAGTCCGAATCGTCATCAGACTCGGAATATTTATCTGGAAAGTGAAAAATATTAGCGAAAATGTCGTATTGGATTTTTAAAAGACACAACAATCAGCATTCTTTCTAGTGTCAAGCCGTTAGCCTTTAGAGCAGGGGTGTTCCAGAAAGAGTCAGGGTGGCTGCAGGTTTTCATTCCAACCAAGTAGGAGCACACCAGACTCCACCTATTTCCTCAGGTCTCCAGGATTAAGACCGGATTTACTTTGAGTCTGGTGTGCTCCTGCTTGGTTGGAATGAAAACCTGTGGTCAGGAGTGGTTTGACACCCCTGCTTTAGAGCATGCATGCTTCCTAATGACATCACATAAGAACAAACTATAACATGTTTACACTCCTGACCCAGCAGTGGTTACTCTCACATCATTTTATTTTATTATGTAAAACTCGACCCAGTTTGAATTCAGCTCAATACACGTGCTCTACATGGCGCCGTAAAGATGGCGCCGTGGCAAGAGCTCTGGTGTGTGTCGTCTGGTGCACACTGGGGTAGTCTTGCACAGTTTTTCCAATGTGGTTTTACTCCAAATGGCAAATAAATGAATCTGAATCTGAATCTTTTATTTTGTTCTTATTTTAATTATTGAGTCTATCATTTAAGATAATAGACTATATTTGATGTGTGCAATCTGAGTGCTCTTATTTCCTTCTTTCTCTACTGTAACGTGCGCAACGATGACACTGAAATTTCTCCACTGTGAGACGAGTAAAGGTTTTCTTATCAAACTGCTACACACTGAGTGACGTGTGTGTGTGTGTGTGTGTGTGTGTGTGTGTGTGTGTGTGTGTGTGTGCGAGCGTGCTGTGTTATAGTAATGTTTGAATGTATTTTAAATTGAATAAGGCTGAAAACAGAATGCTTTATTGACATCTGGACACTTAATCAGATGTTTTAGTTTATTTATTTATTATATATGGCATCAACCTTTCCAGGAACTACATCTGGGAACTACAGTAGTATTTTAGTATATGACCTATTTTCTATTTATTTTTTATATAATTTTTCATAAGACAAATGCTTATTTTGTACATTTGCTTTGATTCCCGCCCCTTAATAACTCAAGAATGTTTACTTCTCATTTCATGTTTTATAATTTGAATTACGAATAGAAATATACTATTGACTAATGCAGTAAGATTAAGATAAGAGAATGTGCCAATACTGCCATCTAGGGGTGGATGTGAGAAATTACATTCTTCTACCTTTTTACAGTGTGGCACATTTATACAGTTGCGCTTCAAAGTTTACACTCCCAGGCAGCAATTGGAGATAAAGAATAATAATACAAATGTTATTATTCTATAGTCTATTTCTCAACAACAGAAACGGACACTGATGTGTGCATTTCCCCTTTAACATCTAATCTTTTGTTGTAGTTGTGGATTAAGTTGCTTTTCCTCTCTGATGGCAAAACAGCTACAGTACAGTTCCTGTAAATTCCTGGGCCACCTTGCATGAACTAGACATTCGAGATCTTCTCAGGGACTTCAATAAACAATAAACAAAAGGATTTTCTTTCTGGGTGTGTACACTTTCTATACTATACATACAACTACAGTACTACAGAATTCCATTGTTGCTAACGTTGGTCTTGTAATATACATAAGTGTGACTTTTTATCTCACCTTGTTGTGTTGTCTCTTCCCGTGATTCTCCTCCATGTTTGAGGAACTCTGCCAGTTCTGTAAAAACTTTATAAAAATCTAAAGCAAAAAATATGGTGGCAATAAACCCAAAAATCTGCAAAGATGGCACTTGATTAGTTTGGCATTATGTGGTAGAACACTCCATATCTGTTATTTATTTACCCCTGCAGCTTTGGAGGAGCCATCGCGATAATTAAAGACGGCGATGATGGAGACGATGAAATAAATAATGGAAGCTGTCACACACCTCAAGAAATCCTGAAAAAGATTATTGGTATTCAAAGCCTAACTTCACTATTCAATAAAATATGATGAACTCACCATTAAAGGCCATAGGAATCCTTTGAACCTCTCGTTGAATTTGGTGGAGTAAGCGAAAAGTATGAATAGCGCTCCCAGGAACTCAATCAGAGGAACAGTGACGAAGGCAGAAGCCAAAGACGCAGCGAAGCACACGAACGCCAAGAAGGACACGGCCTAAGAATGCAAGAGAACATCAGATGAACAAACAGCGACGGTTTAAGCTTTTGATGTGTCCATTTAAATTAGATCAATAGTTTACACTGTCTCTGTCTGTGAGGAAATGACTTGTTTATGAGAAAGGGCTTGTCCCCGACCCTAACCCTATCCCACAGTCTTTCAATACCAGAATATGTGCAATTAAAGATGTTGTTTGTCTGTTATTTGAACTGTACTCAACAGATTATTTGTTGTTGCAATTTCCAGTCTTTGGATGCCAGTGGCTAAGTTTAAAAAAGAAAAAGTAATAAAACCTTTATTTGTTCCATAGTGAGAAATGTCAGGGTTTAAAATCAACCTATTGAACGCCTGGATGTTGTTCTGAATTTCCCTGAAGCTGCAGGCTGCTGTGCTGTGGCCTCAGTCCCACTTCCTGTAAGGAGATACAGCTGCTAAAGATAACGTTGACAAGAAGTTTACTCTACATCCTTTCTGATAGTACGTTTCTGGGAGGAGGAGTGGTGTCAGTTGCAAGGGTAGCAGCCTTTAAAAGTATAACCCAAAGGTTAAATGTTGACAGGAAATTCACTTGAAGCCCAGTGATAAGTTTCTCATGTCCAGAGACTGCAGTGAAGTGCAGCCATCTTGTCTTTGTTTGAGTCATTCATTCTCGCCAAGCCTGAGGCTAAGACCTCCCTCTCTTTGAACACAAACTCAAATTCAGGATCAAAACTCTGTTTCAAGTGGGAGTGGATACTAAACTACACAAGTCAAATGTTCAACAGCCAGATGAAGGGGTTTGTGTCTTTTGAGATGAGATAGTTGCAAATATGGACATTTCCACAGCAACAAACACAGTAGAAACACATCTGTATTGAAAATCCCAGGTGTAATTTCAGACCACCATGGAGAGCAGCACACCGCCTTCTCCATATGAAACAGTTGTTGCAGAAATCTGCAAAGCTCAGTATGCAGCAGATGAAGCACATTCCCTGGGATAGTAAATTCCTCTTCAGACTGTGGTGCATCCTAATGACAGCGTCGTGGTGGTCTGTATAACATGCACACTCAGCACGATACGTGTCAGACTAATGCAACCAAGAACTGCTGCTGATTTCTCACTTTCCGCTTCCCAAAGCAGTGCAGACACTTACCAGAAAACTATTTGAATTATCTCCAAGAACAAACAGCATACAAACATACAAACTGTAGAATGTTTTTACAAGCCAGACGAGCCAGACATTTAGCTTTGGCAAGTAAATCCTGAAGGACTATACCCTTTAGTACATACATTATAAAAGCATGTTATATGTGATTTCTTAGTCTTCCCCTCCCATTACTTTTCACCTGTCTGTAGCCAGGTGATTATAGCCAGGTCTTGACTTGTAGACCTAAAATTCCTTTTTAAATGTTTGTGGATTTGAAATATTGTATTGCATGACCATAATGGACTAAATAAAAGTGGTTGACAAAATCTAACTCCTCAGATTGTGTCTGATACAGAGGCTTTCTGTTGGCTCTGCATTCCAATGGCCTGATGCATGTTTATACGCTTTTTATACAGCAATCCTCCATCTTTGCTGGAGACTAGCTTTCAGAAACAAGGCATACCCAAAAGACCTAAAAATAGAGTATATGCACATGTTCTCTGTAACCCACTGAAAACTCAAATAATTGCAGATCTGGAAATGTCATAGTAAAATTATGTGAACTCTGTGTGACCGTGCTGCAGGCTATGCTCAGAGACAGGGATGGGACATTGGATGAAAGTCACATGACACAAAATAACAGGGCTACAGTGCTCACAAAGTCGCTCTAAAACAAGTTACAACCACAAGATTTGGGCAATAATTAAGAACAAAAAAACCTGACATTATTAAAGCTTTCGGAGGTAACACCAATAGAAATACTGATTTGATTCTATGATCAAGTCAAAGTTGAACTCCACACTATAAGGCTTTGCTGAATGTGCATTTCAATGTCTATGTCAGACTCTGAATTATTATTATTTCCATTGTAACAGGGAGTCACAAACTATGAATGTGCTTAGATGGTGCAAAAAGGTTATAACAAAGTAACACAAAGTAGACAAATAGATATATAAGCAAGCATTCAAAAATGGTATACACACAACAGACAGAAAACAATGTAGATAATGAAAAGTGTCCATTCAGGTATGATAGTGTAATGATGTGAGTTATAGCTATAAATGTGCCGGGAAAAATCCTACAACTGCTGTTAGATAAGTCAGGCGAGTTTTTGCAATGCTGCTTACCACTTCCCCAATAAGCAGGATGCCTTTCTTGGAGGTGCAGAACTCTTTGCTGGGAAGAACCGTCATAAGAACCGAGAGGCTGGAGGGTGCGCCGCCTGAGCTGGGAGCCTCGATGTCTCCCATGCTTCCCAAAAGAAAAGTCTCCTGAACTTCTACAAACTTCCACAGCCCGCAGTGATCTAAAAAAAAAAAAAAATGCAGATAGTGTGGCGGGGGGCGTGCACTTTTGGAGAGGGGAAACAATGACAGCACGGAAATGCGAGCTCCCAAAAGCGCAACATCTGCTCCTTCCAGATGTGAAATGTGACGCCTGCAGCTGCACGAGCAAGAGGCGCCTCAGACCCATGCTCAGACCCACGCATGCTCAGACCCATGCATGCTCAGACCCATACCCGGGTATACTCAGGGCAGAGAAAAAGACAGTCCTTTATATCGTGTATGGAAACATTAACTGTCGACGGATTGTGTTTGAGAGATTGAACCCACCGATCCCAGAGCATATGTGGAGGAGGGCACCCAGTAAGTCGCGCAAGTCAGTGAGAGCAGTGAGTGGCATATACACTGCAAAAAGTGGCAACCCCCCCCCCCCCCCAACAACAAAGAATTGCTACTATTACTATTCCATTCAAATTGTCTTCCAATGGATCATGATTATTCCATTTGTTTAGATTTCTTTGAAGAAGAAAAAAATAACATACTATAACTTGCTAAGTAGCTTCTGCCTGCATGAGTAAAACAGTAAATCAAGCGAAATACATTACTCTATATTTTCACTTTTTGTAATGTAGAACTGTGTACAAGTGAAACTACAGGTATGTACAGTATATATGTTCAATGTACTGCTGAGGACCATGACATATGTATTTATTATTGATGGCATACTTTTAAAAGGCCACAATGGAAGACTATGTTAACTTTTACCAGCATCATGCAGCCTTGATCTTATTAGAAATCATGTTATCTGTTACTTGTGAGAAAGGGTACTTTGAGTGATGCTGAGGAGCTGAGAGCTGATTGGATGAGTGAGTGTGATCCTATTTCACTCTCATACTCAGAAAAATCTGGTGTAAAGATGTGACAGAGATAGAGATATATGCAAACCGTTTGGAGCGCCAGTAGTTGAATTGATTATATATTTTGGAAAGTAGCCATAGGTGCCTCGTATATTTGGTTTGATTTGTTGCTATATCATCTGCATCAAAATTCCTCTTATTTTCATCATATTTGTTTCTGATGTGGAAATGTAACATGGTGCAACAAAAGCTTTTGCATTTTGTACAATGCAAACACTGACACATAAAGGGTACATGCTTGAATCAGATATTGGTAGTTTGAAAAGATTTACCAATGAAACATGCAAACATGTCTTATTTTAAGGGCTTTAGCATTTTTTTGTATAATTCCAAGTAAGAATTAGCTTGTTTCCTAAAACAGATGTTTACTTGTCCATTTGGCAAACCTTGTTTTAAAGCTGACATTCAAAACGAAACATATATTTAACCTAATTCAAGCAACTGTTGTACCTCCTTTTTGTAAATGTTTGTTGTGTAATCTTCTTTAATCTGACGGTTCACTGCTGTTAGGCTTGTTGAGAGAAATAGTTTATTTTAAAGGTAAGGAGCAGCAAAGATGATACAAAACCAAGCATCTATGAAGAAAAGCTGATAAAAATACAACAGATATATATATATATATATATATATATATATATATATATATATAAATGCATTACTCCTCCAGCTTGTGTCCCTGTTAAAGAATAATGATTACTACTACCGTTATATTATAATTATCTGTTGTATAAAATACTTTGAGGCCAAAATATGAACTAAAACCTCTTGTTTAGTTTGAGTGTCTATAATCAGGACCATCACTATAACAAATTCTATGACACTGCCCCAAAATTGACAGAAGCTAACAGGGTCGTCTCTGAAAAGAAAATATACTACTAATTATTATTAAACACGTGTCCAGCAGGGGGCAGCACAAGACTGAAGGTGAATCTAGATTCAGAATCGGACTCATGCATTACAAACCTGGTTGTCAATCAATCAGCACATTATTTACCAGTTCAGCAAGTTTCAAGATCCCTCTGGAGGAGTTTGGAAATGTTTAGTCCACTCCCATTTGTCGTGTTTCGCTGTGGCTCATTGGCATTAGGCTGTACGGGACTGAACATTTTGCTTTCCATTTCCTTTGAGATGAGGAAATGAATAAAAATGACTAAAAGAGTGAACGAAGAGAATAGAGAAGTTAGCAAAGGCTGAGCAGAACAGTACAACAACAGCATCTTGACTAATGACTGTGTTCCCAAAAGTTCCTTTATTTAAAAATCTTAAGAAAAAATAACTTCACTTTTATTGTAAACATCACCTTAGAAAACTGGAATAATTTAAAATCAAGTATTTTAACAGTGCAACAGCAGTGTCACCCAAATCCCAGAGAAAACAGATAAATTATTCCCTCATCCAGGAGCAAATAGACGTCTTCAAAAGGCAGTATTAGAAGTTTATATCTGTGCAAGTTGTGCTGAGGTCCCTGCGGAGTAGATTAATGTGGCCAAACACATTTCCATGGATTGGGTTTTGGCGGCTGCAGACACTTCCCCAGTTTCTCACATCCTTCGGGAGCCCAGTTCTGCAAACACAAAATCATCCTAAACATATTTGTGTATATGTGGGTGCCTTTCGTTACCACCAATAATTATTCTTCAACATGGTTTATTTCAACCTACATTTGTGATACTGTAGTAAACCACAAGGGGGCAGTGCTATTACATGAATAACCTCAGAACCCTTCAGAATCATCTATCTCCTTTTTGTGTTACGGCTGATTTTATTTTGTACCACTACAGAAGTTAACGCAATAAAGACCATGGGTAAAACAGATACAACACACACAGCAGAAATACCTTGGATGTGTACAGTATGAGCGGTTTATATGTGACACTCACCATGACCGATTGATCACACATGTTGAGCTGAGGAACTGCAGGAATCAGGGTTTGTTGATGCTTCTGCACGATTGGCATGAGTTCCTTCATGATGTCGAGGTACTCTCTGGACAGCACACTACAAAACACAGTCAATAGCAAAGTTACACAACATGTCTCCTTTGTAGCATTAATCATATTTCTAATGAGGTTGGTCGCAGGGGCCCAAATTGTTCACCAGGCCCCTTGTAACGAGATAGCACTACTGTATGATGTGTGTGATATGTGACGCCCGTTATTCTTCCTTAAAATAACATTAAAATTCACTCACATGTCCACTCTTAAAGTACTGGATAATGGAGCTAATAGTGAAATAATTGTATGAACACTTTACACTGGATTGACGCTCTAAACCAGATATGTCAAACTCATTTTGGTCAGGGCCCGAAAAAAATAACTAGGAAGTGGTCTGGGGCCGAAATACTAAAGTAAGTAGTAGTAAGTAATCTTTATTTATATACCGCCTTTCACAGACCACAGTCACAAAGCGGTTTACAATTGTTATTTTTGGGCATTTGTCCTCTCACTCCTCACAGAGATGGGAGCGAGGTCACCATACACAGGAGGCATGTTTTTAGTGGTAGGGAAAAACGGAGTACCCGGAGGAAACCTACGCAGACACGGGGAGAACATGCAAACTCCAGGGATTCAAACCCAGGACCTTCTTGCTGAGAGACGAGAGTGCCATCCACTCAGCCACCGTGCCTAAAAGGGATTTCCTTTTCTTATATATATTTTTTACATTAGGAAGGAATTTTGGAAGGTATTAACTTAATATGACCAGAATTTCACTATTATTTTATGGTTGATTTTCATGAAAACAAAATGCCTCGATAGATTTAACCAAATCTGGACAAGATGAAACATATTGTTTTGTATTTAACGATCTAACTTCTAATGATGTGTTAGGGTAACATTTTAGAAATAAATCAATGTTGGTTGTTTTCCTGAGAAAATAGATCATGTATAACAGGCCATGGTATTAATAACAATTGAAAACCATTTTAGGGGCCACTAAAAATGATCTTGCGGGCTGGATTTTGCCTAGTAACCTGAGTTTGACATGTTTGCTCTAAAGCATGGGCACATTTGTAGAGCATCTTCACACATTCAATAAGAAAGTCTGGACAACGTCACAGCAGCTGACTTAGTGGATACATATACATGGGTCATCTGATTAAAACTTCTGGGAAAACCAACAATGTGGTGACCCCTGTGACCCCTATTCCTTCCCTTGTCTCTCAATTACTGCTGTTGGACAGCAGCGAGTCTGAGCACCTCTGTGCATTATTATATTCAGTGTGTAAAACACGGGGCCCTGAAGGCTTTCAAAGGAACGCTGCTCTCAGTAGGACCTGTAGGTTAATGGGCTGTGTGTGTGTGTTGGGGATGGGCCAGTGTGCTGCTGGTGTCACACGTATAGACAAATATGAGCAGTGCAATTACACCCCTGATACACGGCAGTAGCACCTGTGCCAGTGTGCCTTCCTCCCTGCGCTCTGAACCAGCCTTCTGATTGGCCCCTAGGGAACATGTGCATGTGCCTGAGGTGAAGTGTCAATTAGAGTAATAACCCCAGGCTCTGTCCAGCTCACACCTACCCTCCCTCTCAGATCTCCCACCGGGCAACACACTTCCTCCATCAGCGAGCACCTGCTCCTATTCCAATACTCACGCTTTGCTTTACCCACAATTATTCGACTGGTACTGCTTTGGCTGCAATTAGTCTCATTCTGTGCTCATCATAAGTATGCTAATGTTTGAGTTTTGACCCAAAGCAGATAAGGAAAACTCTTCCCTCTTTCAGTGGAAAAACATGGATTCAGATTAAATTGCCTTAGCTATCTAAAATCGCAAATTCTGCTTCCCATGATTCCAATCAGCACAGGGGATATTTCATTTCTTACTATCTGTTCCCTCCCCGATAGCAGTGATTCATTTAATGATAACAGATAAAGCATCCTATTACAAGTAAATGTAAGGAAGATTTATCAGAGTGCATTCAACATTCAATTCTTGCAAACGTGTCTGCAAGCAAAGCAGGGCCATGGACCCAGAAACTCAGACTGGACAAAAAGTTTCTATGGTTTTGTCTATTCATTGGAAATTTTACAGTGCACACCTCTAAATCAAAAACTAATAATACCATTTGTTTATACCCCCTTCGCAAACACATAATGAAAAGCCCACAGTCAGCACAGCTCATTATCATGATTATAACCCTTAGCTTAGTGGTGTAGAGGCAAAATCTGGAATAATAAGCAGCATGTATGCAAATGAAGTCTTTTGATTTATAATGTATGGCACCCAAGGGGGATGGGGGCATTGCTCAGGTGTGTCACTATACTCTGATTACTGATTCATAACAGGATTGCGCCGAGACACACACACACACAATCACAGAGCAGAAGGTGGGGGAATTGAGGAGACAATCAAATACATCTGTCCTGCCCAGCCCCTCCCCTCTGCGTCTTCTCCTCCCCACTGGAAACTGAGCACTTCACTGAGGACTATTGATTGGCGATACAAGAGGTTGGTGGCAGGCAGCAGATGAGGCCAGTCTGAGCCCCTGCAGAGAGAGGACTGGTTTGTGCCTGGGAGTTACCGTAAGAGGCTCTCGGGAAAGGTTGCCGAGTGGTGGCTGAGTTAACCTTATGGCTATGGTCAGAGATGGACTAGACAAGGCATGTCAAACTCAGGCCCGTGGGCCAAATATGGCCTGTAAGACCATTTTTAGTGGCCCCCCGACTTGATTTTCACTTATCTTCATCACAGTAACTTTCAGCATAGAGAATAATGAGTTGTTATGGTTTGCTGTACATGATTTTAAAGCCTAATGTCTGAGGAAAAAAAAACAATAACATTGAATCTTTTCTAAAAGGATAACTGAAATGTAATTAAAAGTTATAGGTATTTAATTATTTTTTTAAATGTAACACTATTCAAATCCATCTCATTTTGATATTTGGCCAGTTGTGGTTGAATCCAAAACCACTAAAAAAATAATGTCCAAACTTAAAAATTAAATAGTTAATTTGTCAAAAGAAAAAGATACTAAAACTTTTAAAATTCACTTTTGTACTTAACAATAAGAATCTGAATCATTTATTAATGACCACACAACAAGTTGGTGGAATTTGTTTCCGGTACAGCAGGAATGCTCAGCTCAACTGTGCTGGATACTAAGACAAAAGAAACATACATGAACAACAACAGGGACATCTTCTGGCCCTAAGCAGCACTTATGTTTTTGAATTTAGACCAAAATGAGTTTGACACGCCTGGACTAGAGGACGGGCCCTACTAGGTGGGATCCGTGGAGAGGTGAAGCACCTAGTCAAAGTTTTTTTAGTGGACTATTGTATTTGAATTAGAAAGATTTCTGTGGTTAACAGCAAAAATCAGACGCCATGAAGATTTTGGTCTCATGATATTGACCAGTCATTCCACTGGATATTTCAGTGTCTAGTTCCTAAATGATATTAACACTGAATATGAAGCAGAGAAGTGTATATTTTACACAAACAAAGTTGATCTATAGTGACTTGCATATATACTGTACCAGTTAAAAACACACACATTTAAAACGGTTAGCTTTGATTTGGGGGGGAAAGGCCATTATCTTCCCATCACTTGTATCGGTTCATATAAAAAATGAACACACAAAAACAAAACACACACACACGTAATATTGTCAGAGGTTTACGGGATGCGTTGCTGACGTTTCCTTGTCTGGTCTTCCTTGCATCTACACACCCTAATTGGATTTCATTGCTTAAATAACGCTCTGAGAAAATAAGGAAGCTGCAGTGTGTTCGTGCCTTACAAAATATGTCTCGACAATAGAACTCAGACCTTTGTCATCACAAAAACAGGGCCATTACTATACATGTTATCAAGCTTTTCAAACTCATCACGAGACTAAATGAAAAGCTAAGGAGTTGAGACATGCTGAACACTTGTTATCGTCCGTCGCATGAGAGTGAGAGTAAACAGCGATGCCTGCAGCTCTTTCAGTTTTAACCACAGCTTTAGATTCAGGACTGGGCGCTGGTGTACAGTTCCGTGCGACATTACTGAAGGTATGTGTGCAGACAGCCCCTACATCATCTTAAGTGGCTCTTTAGGTGTGGACAGAGATTAATGATAGCGGGGCGGTCGGTCCAGCTGGGGGAGTGAGGAGCACGTGGACCAAACGTTCATACATAGACACAATACAAAGAGAAGAGAGCTCCCCGTGGACACAAGGAGGACACTGTCTGAGCGGTCACACCCGATCTGGAGTTAAATAATAGGTTGCGTTCAGGTTCCAGAATTCTATTTCAGTTGGTGGGTATAGGTGCCAATACAACTCTAAGAGAACAAAGCCATTTTTAAAAGACATACTGAAAAATAAATGTGTTCCCAGATCCTTATTTGTAATATTTACAAACTCTGCATATTATTCTAATGTCTGAAAGTCCTTTCTACTGGTCAACATTATGCATAATCTTTTTGAACATTGTCACCACTTCTGGTTTTTGTTTAATGTCCCTTAGCCCAGGCATTACAGAAGAAAATAGCTCTGAACTGAGACTATAGGTCTGACTTTGGACAGTTACTAAAGTTCATTGTTATTATAATTACAGGATGAACAAAATCAAAAACCATAAAAGAGTCTGAAAAGTTATATAGACAGGCGCATTGTTATTATGATTATTATTGTTTCATCGTTATTTCATGATTCAAATAAAACACCATGATAATGACATGAGCTTGAAGAGAGTTCTGCATTTTCTGGGTAGAATGGTTTTTTTTTGTCTACAATCACAGAAGAGCCAAAGCACACGGCTGAATACTGATTGAATGTGGCCTCTTTTATTCTTCAGCGTAAATAGAAACGCTAAAAAGGTAGTCCAATAAAAAACAGCATTAATGTTTTATCATCCAATCTCACTAAAAGAGGCCAGAGAGGAGTTGGGAATAGAAGCGGGACTAAAGAAAGGAAAGGTCAAAATAGTTTATTATATATATATTATAATAAACTGTTATAGCCTATATTTTCTTATGTTGTCTTATTATTATATTAAATACAATCAAGACAGACTTTAATCAATTACTATTTCATTGCAGGAAGTAAAAATATTCCTCCAAACTAGTTCCTCCAAGCCAGCTGTAAACCCGGCTTAGACACGACAGGTGATTAATAATTAGTGAATTATTGTTGTGTCTAAGATCAAGTACCTTTTCTATTTTTACACCATATTTCAGTCTAATATCTGTTGATAGAAATCCTAATCAAAAGTTATCGATGTTTCAAATAGATCTTCAAAATGCAACAATAGGAAAAAAATAATAGATCAGACATTTAAAATAACAGTAGAAAATATGTTATCTCTACTGTTATTTTAATTGACATTAAATAACAGTCTACGGCATTATTATTGACTTCACCCTCTCATACCAAACACATCCCCAAAACCTCCTTCTTCCACCTCCGCAACATTGCCCGCCACCACCCCTCCCTTACCCAGTCAACAGCCGAAATCCTAATCCACGCATTCATCACCTCCAGACTCGACTACTGCAAAAGCCTTCTCTACGGACTTCCCACCTCTCATCTCGAAAAACTGCAATGCACCCAGAATTCTTCAGCCCGCCTCCTCACCCACACCCGATCCAGAGAACACATCACCCCTGTCGTCCAGCAGCTCCACTGGCTCCCCGTTCAATACCGCATCCATTCCAAGCTCCTTCTCCTCACCTACAAGTCCCTCCATAACCTGGCCCCGCCCTACCTTACTGAGCGCCTACAACAGCACCAACCCACCCGCCGCCTTCGCTCAGCCGATTCCAACCTCCTCACTTCCATCACCCGCACAAACCGCCGGACCTTGGGGGACAGAGCCTTTGCTATTGCCGCCCCTACCCTCTGGAACTCACTCCCACTGCCCATTAGAAACTCTGACTCACTACCAAACTTTAAATCAGTACTCAAAACCCATCTTTTCAAACAAGCTTTTCCGTAAACCCCTTTTTCATTCTATTGTATTCTTTTCCAATGTGAAGCGACTTAGAGTGTCCAAAAAAGCGCTATACAAGTTTGATGTATTATTATTATTATTATTATTATTATTATTAATATTTTTTTCAGGTATGTGTTGAAATTCCTCTGGTCTTACTCCCCATTTCTGAAAGCTCTACTTGGAACATTGTGAATATCCAACTATGCAAAATCTTTTTCAAGTGGTCCTAAACTTTTGATTGAGACTATATTACAAAAAACAACAACATGTGACCTTCAACACATTTTATTAGCTAATATTGAGGGCATGTCACTCGTTATGGATCCCTAACCCTTTTGATGTCTCTGCCATTGTGTGAAACAGAAATTAAACAATAGATTTTGTATTCACTAAACGGGAACAACACTAACCTTTATAATGTTGTCTAAAATATCAACAAATGCAAGTTAAGAAAATTGCATATAACTGAAGGCTAAAAATCTCTTGGCCCATCCCCAGTTTTGGCAAGGAAATTACACATGCATACAAGTAAACCATCTTTTTCCGTCTTGTCTGCGGCCTGTGGTTCTTTACTCCAGCCAGAGTCGAGCAGAGACACACAAAAGCCCATTAAACAGCATTCAGTCTCAATTTAGAGCCGCGCTGCCTCTCCTGCATGTGTGACCTGCAGTGGGTCGAGAGGCAGATTGTGATCTTCACTGAGCTGTTTGCAATCACAAAGACGGGAGTGTAATCAGGCGCACAGCAGCTGAGCAAATCAATGCACTTCACCTCTCTATACCATTAAATCTCCATTGATCATACAACAGCATTCTGCGTGTCAGCAACAGACAGAAATATGTGCGCTGCTGGTAACAGTAAGAAGTAATAATACGCAAGGTTGTGGGAGAGACACAGGAGATGGTCCTGAACACAAGTCCATGGTTCTGTCTGCGTGTCTATGGTTCTGTCCACGAGTCCATGGTTCTGTCTCGTCTATGGTTCTGTCCACGCGTCTATGGTCCGTGCTCGGTACCACGTTATGGATGTGCGTTAGCTGAGCTGTTGTCAAAGCGGCTGTCAGTACAACGCGGCCACAGCTGCCCTGGATGTGAATCCTAGATGTGAATCCTGTTCAGAAATGGCATTATTCCTTTCCAAAAACATCTCAGTCACTTTCACTTCTCACAAGCCACAATGCTCCCCACTACCTGTTACAGCTGGTGGTCGCATCCAATTCTTACGTTGCAAAGTACTTAGCTATCTGCTGCCACCTACTGATATGAAAAGGTATTATGTGGTTACTCCACATTTCAAAACAAGTCAGCGCTTGCCAATGGTGGATGCATTTATTTTTGAACAAAGTAGGCAAATTTCCCACGGTACACCGGACAATATATGGCACACTAGTGTGCCGCGGCACAGTAGTTCAAAAACACTGCATTAAGGTACCTATCCAAATAAATGATGCATAGATAAGTATATGAAATGGCTTCAATGACACTTTCAGCAACGATTTGTTACATTTCTGAAAACTTTGGGGAGCTACAGGTTGGAGACACCTGATGTCTCAAAAAGGCTCATAAGATCATCAAGGACAACAGCCGGCCATTAAATATTGAATAAACTTAGCCTAGTCTTCTCTTGCAGAATTGTCTGGATGGCTGCTCACAGTCAACAATTTCACAATGATTTACCCATTGCTCCAATCAGACCGAGAGGCGGGATACATTTACAGAAACATGGAGGCTGCCGGTGTACTTTTCCACAACATTAAATCTAGCGCCCACTGTTCTCTTCTGCTCTGTTCTCTTTTTAAAAACATTTGGACCATGTAAAATCCCTAAAACCGGAGCAGGAAACAGCGTTGGAAGCATCATATGTGCAGTTTATCTAATTGCTTGCTTGCAATCACGTGACGCATAAACTTCCGGTTGACGGAGTGGTGGTCAAGCCAGCAAGAGTTGCTGCTGATATATGAAGAAAATGCGACTCTTCCGAGTATTTTTTGACACTTTGAAGCTACTGTGGTGAACGTTCTAACTCATCATTCTAACAATATGCACAAGGCAGAATTTTTCCACTACATGTTTTGGTAATATCAAGGTTGAAGCTACTGGCACAGCGGTAAATGCTAACATGCTAATATGCTAATAAGTCTCCATTCCTCAGCTGTATGTCACTTACATTCTGTAACGTCTTTGTTTATGCTGCCTCTACCGTCGACAATAAAAAATGTCTTCTGTCTGAATTAAAGACAAGATCCTAGACTGTCATTTTATTCACTTTAGATTCTAACCCACAGCTAGTGTTACAATCAAGCTTTTGCACTGCTAAACAAATGAAGGTTTGGATAAACACAGATACTGCAACTTTTCCGTCTGTCTGTGGGTTTAAGAACTCAGAGTTAAGGTCCTGAAGGACACATCCTGCATCGTACAGAGCCGTGTAAGTAAGGATTGGTATGAACTTATCATTCTCAACAAAACAATGGATCTGTGGCTGTGTTCTTTTCAAGTCAAACATTCACAGTGTTTATTTAAAACTCAACCAACTCATACCTGACAATGAATGAAATAAAGATGGGGATGTAATAACTGAGCATTGTGACTGCATGGCTGGGTAAATAAATTATCCTTAGAGGTAAAAGCGTTTGCTAGTGAAATGTTAGCGAGTCACTTTTCCTGCGTGTTTTCGTAAAGTCTTTAGTGTGAGGCTCTTTATTCATCTCTTCACAAGGAATCCTAAAGTATCCATTAAAGGTTTCACGATTCGATCGGTTAGAAAACTTAAAACAACACATGCAAAAGGTATATTCAGACACGCTGCTCTAGTGAACAACTAGCTCGGCTGACCACCAGTCCGTGATACGCATATGTAATGAGGCGGACGTGACGTCAATTGCAAGCAAGCAATTGGTTGATTCCATCTTCTATTTATGCCCAGTGGCAAAGCGAGATTATGTGCAATCCCAGACTGCATATAATTGCAAGTTTCAACGTTTATTCACACAAAGATTGAAGGACATTATGATTATTCAAGTACTATTATTATTAGTATTTGTATTAGTATTAGTATTAGTAGTAGTATTAGTAGTAGTATTAGTATTAGTAGTAGTATTAGTAGTAGTATTAGTAGTAGTAGTAATAGTAGTATTATTGTGACTGTAATCTATATTTTAGGTAATGCTTTAGGCTTGTTCCATTGCCATTATCTAAGTTGAAAGTGGTAAAGAATCAAAAAGGTAAACACCTATTAATTAAAGCATTTGAATAGATTTTTAGTGTCTAAATGTTCATGTATTTTGTTTTGCAAATATAAATCTCTTTGGTTTGGTAAGAGCACCCTAGTCCTAACGCAAACTAAATTGTGGCTGACCTGACTGGGTACTTCTCTCCAGGATCTCGACCCAGGTGGAAGACGAGTGGCTGAAGAGTGTGGTTCATTTGCTCGTGAGTGGTCACACCAGGAACCTCTTGACCAGGGCAGAAGTTGATACCCTGAAAAAGACGCAAATAAATACATTTGATTCTAAAAATAAATACACAATTATTTCATGGAATGGATTATGTCTATTTCACAACATCAACAAATTACAAATATGTTATATTGGTGTGTTGTATCAAAAAGAACCCTCACATTGGATCCATACAGTGCCTTGCGAAAGTATTCGGCCCCCTTGAACCTTTCAACATTTCGCCACATTTCAGGCTACAAACATAGAGATATATAAATTTTAATTTTTTGTCATGAATCAACAACAAGTGGGACACAATCGTGAAGTGGAATGAAATTTGTTGGATAATTTAAACTTTTTTGACAAATAAAAAACTGAAAAGTGGGGCGTGCAATATTATTCGGCCCCTTTACTTTCAGTGCAGCAAACTCACTCCAGAAGTTCAGTGGGGATCTTTGAATGATCCAATGTTGTCCTAAATGACTGATGATGATAAATAGAATGCACCTGTGTGTAATCAAGTTTCCGTATAAATGTACCTGCTCTTTGATAGTCTCAGGGTTCTGTTTAAAGCACCGAGAGAACCATGAAGACAAAGGAACACACCAGGCAGGTCCGAGATACTGTTGTGGAGAAGTTTAAAGCCGGATTTGGATACAAAAAGATTTCCCAAGCTTTAAACATCTCAAGGAGCACTGTGCAAGCAGTTATATTGAAATGGAAGGAGTATCAGACCACTGCAAATCTACCAAGACCCGGACGTCCCTCCAAACTTTCATGTCAAACAAGGAGAAGACTGATCAGAGATTCAGCCAAGAGCCCCATGATCACTCTGGATGAACTGCAGATAACTACAGCTGAGGTGGGGATGGTGTGTTCAGGGTGATGAGCTGTGTTGCTTTTACGCCAAACATATCGTTTTGCATTGTGGCCAAAAAGTTTGATTTTGGTTTCATCTGACCAGAGCACCTTCTTCCACATGTTTGGTGTGTCTCCCAGGTGGCTTGTGGCAAACTTTAAGAGACTTTTTATGGATATCTTTGAGAAATGGCTTTCTTCTTGCCACTCTTCCATAAAGGCCAGATTTGTGCAGTGCACGACTGATTGTTGTCCTATGGACAGACTCTCCCACCTCAGCTGTAGTTATCTGCAGTTCATCCAGAGCGATCATGGGCCTCTTGGCTGCATCTCTGATCAGTCTTCTCCTTGTTTGAGATGAAAGTTTGAAGGGACGGCCGGGTCTTGGTAGATTTGCAGTGGTCTGATACTCCTTCCATTTCAATATAATTGCTTGCACAGTGCTCCTTGAGATGTTTAAAGCTTGGGAAATCTTTTTGTATCCAAATCCGGCTTTAAACTTCTCCACAACAGTATCTCGGACCTGCCTGGTGTGTTCCTTTGTCTTCATGGTTCTCTCTGCGCTTAAAACAGAACCCTGAGACTATCAAAGAGCAGGTGCATTTATACGGAGACTTGATTACACACAGGTGCATTCTATTTATCATCATCAGTCATTTAGGACAACATTGGATCATTCAAAGATTCTCACTGAACTTCTGGAGTGAGTTTGCTGCACTGAAAGTAAAGGGGCCGAATAATATTGCACGCCCCACTTTTCAGTTTTTTATTTGTTAAAAAAGTTTAAATTATCCAATAAATTTTGTTCCACTTCACGATTGTGTCCCACTTGCTGTTGATTCATGACAAAAAATTAAAATTTTATATCTTTATGTTTGAAGCCTGAAATGTGGCGAAAGGTTCAAGGGGGCCGAATACATTCGCAAGGCACTGTATGTAACTTTTTAGACACATAAAAGCTTATAAATATCATAAATGTTTTTTTTGGGTTTTTTTTGTCCTGCTCAGTATTTTGATGTCATTGGAAAGAAGGTATAGGTATATGGTGCATTGATGCTGATAACCACAGCACAACATCTTAATAGTCAATGTAAAATAAAAATAATACACAGCTCATAAAGCAGGTGTACTGTATAAGTAAAGCTTCAGTCAGTTCTGAAGGCTCTGCCCCAAACTCCATGCAGTGAGCAGTGATCACAGGCTGATTGAGTCCCTCTCTCTCCTCCGCGACCCCCTGGAGATGTGCTGCTGCCTTCAAACACACACTTTCTGATAAAGCAATATTGAGAATGCATTCATCTGTAAGCCAGTGTCACGGCGCCCCTCTGTGATCACTAAACAGAGCACCTCAAAATACATATAGGAGTGAGTGAGAGTGGAGATACCCCCCGCTCCGCAATACCTCGTCTGATCTGGACTTGTCCTGTCGGTGAAGCCAGCAGCTTAAAAATGCAGAAAAGTGAAAAAAAAAAGAAAGAATTCCAATCCCAGAGGCAGTGTGAGAAAAAAGGCCTGCTGTGTGTATCTCTTTGACTGTCTCTTGTAGCGCGGCTGAATAAGAACTCCCTATCTTCCTTGACATTAATGCTATGGATACAACTAGGCCGCTTTCAAACTGGAACAGAGCGTTCGCTATTACGAGATAAGGTGCACAGACACCCAGGGGTGGCCAGATGGATTTTTTGGAAAAGGTAATATTCTGCAGCTGCTCTGAAGCGTGAGGAAAAAAAACTTTTCTTCTGTAACTTTTTTCCCACAACAAGTTCATTACAATCACATACAGTTGTATTGAATTTAATTCAGTATACACTTTATCGAATAAATTATTCTTCCGTATTTGAGGCAGCATTTATAGCCATTAACTATAAGGTTATTAAATTTTGTTATAGTAAAACTCTTGCAATTAATTAAAAGACCAAAGGAATCTCAAATGCAAAATGTACATACATCGAAATGTATGTGAAATGAAAGGCAACTTTACTTCACTCAATAATATACTAAATCATATTTAGAATAATGGCTTAACATGAGCTGCATTTGGTAATAAATCAGCTTAAGGTAAAAAGAGAAACACTATGGAGCCCCTTTGTGGGACTCCATATGTTTATCAATGAGTAGCATCAGTTATTTCCATGGATGGCTTTCACACGCAGACCTCACAAGTCAGATGCCTGCAGACCTCATAATCTGCATAAATAAAACTGTTGCTGTGTCCTTAGACAAGACACTTTGCTCACATTGCCTACGTACAAGTTTGGTGTGCGTGCACAAATGAATGGCAGAGGTCAGAGGGGCCAGATGGCTCATATGTACAGTACAGACCAGAAGTTTGGACACACTTTCTCATTCAGTGCGTTTCCTTTCTTTTCATGACTATTGACTGTAGATTCACACCCAGGCTGTGTAAGGGCTATGACCAATAAGGAGAGTGGTGAGGTGCTGGGCCATATGACCCGGCCTCCACAGTCACCGGACCTGAACCCAATCCAGATGGTTTTGGGGTGAGATGGACCACAGAGTGAAGGTGGAAGGACCAACAAGTGCCAAGCATCTCCGGGAACTCCTTCAAGACTGTTGGAAGACCATTTCAGGTCATTACCTCTTGAAGCTCATCAAGAGAATGCCAAGAGTGTGTGAAGCAGTAATCAGAGCAAGGTGCTACTACTAGAACCTAGAACTAAAGACATATTTTCAGTTGTTTTTTTACGCATATAATTCCACATGAGTTAATTCATAGTTTTGAGGCCTTCAACGTAAATCTATAATTTTCATAATCATGAAGATTAAAAAAACTGTTTTAATGAGAAGGTATGTCCAAACTTTTGGTCTGTACTGCATGTGCTTCCGTCAGTCGGCACCACAGAAGCTTTGGCTACAGCAGTAGCTTATCACCACTGTATATGAAGTGAATGTATAATGCCATGCAAAGTGTCTGGGTGTCAAAAAAGCTCTATATAAAACTGATGCATTACTATTATTATTATCATCAAATCCAGTGAAATCCCTCATTTTCCTCATGGCTGAGCAACAATTTCAGCAGCTATTAAGTGGCAATTTTATTTGTCCCTTGTTCATCTTATGTTACTTTAGGTAAAATGTACAAAATCTAAATTAACAATGGAATAAGAGTAATGGAGGAATGAATGCATTTCAAATGATCTTTTATCTGAGAGATAAATGAGTGAAAACAAGCAGATTGAGTTGCTACATTCAACACAGAGCTAAGGGCATCTGTATGGAGGGCACCACATGCAAGTGCATGTTTTTCCTATTCTGCCTCTTTCATGTACACACACCAATCAATAGGCAACTCACAAGCAATCAGACACCATTATTTGTGAAGTTCCACTTCAGTTCACATGAGTTGATAAAGGAGGCCACTATTGATTCAGCGGCCCTGAAGGAGAGAGCAATTTAAGCGACCGATGGGGCATAAAACAAACTGGATCAAAGAGGAGAGCGGGACATGTTTTCATGGACAGAGGAGTGAAGACGCACCCCGTGTCCTGCCTCAGTCACATCTCCAAAACATCTCATCAGCAATGCTCAAGTAATTAGTAAAGAGATACAGCCTTGTCTTTTAAGTGCTGTAATACCAATAAGAATGACTACAGCAGGAGGCAAGCCACATAAACATCGAGGATGAAAAAACTCGAGTTAACAAACACGTCAACTAGTTGATGAACGATGTAAGTTTGCTGATGTGGGGGCCCTTCATTAATATTCATTATGCTCTGATGTACACAGCAGTCAACTGATGAGCCATTTTAGAGATAACTCCAGCAGAGAAAGCCTTTGTGTGGTGGAGGAAGATTAGGAGCAAACACATGAGCAAAGAAAGCTGTGATTCTGCACACGACTTACGGTTTTAAACTGCTCCCAGGAGTTACTCCAGGTCCAGTAGTGGGCCTTGTACTGACCCAGCCGCACAGCCATCATCTCGTTCCCACGGTAATAATAGATGGCTCTTTAAAATTTGTGACAAACATTATTAGTATTATGTGCAACCTAGTTATGTGCAAGTGACTCTTACCTGTTTTTGAGAGAGTCAGAGTTATTTAACAGGACGGGGGTCAGATCGAGGCCATCCAGTATTCGATCATCAGGGGCATCAATACCAGCCAGAGCCAAACTCGTGGTGAAAAGATCCATGACATTGGAGAGTTGAAAGTTCACCTACAATTCCAAAACATTTTTGTAAACTCACACTATTTTTTACATAATTTTACTTAATTGTTTTGATTAAATATTTGAGTATTTACTAGTCACCAGTCGGCACCAGATTATTTTGAACTTCCAAATGTATTTAAATGGTTTAGAAAACGAAAAAAAGTACTGAGAGGACACGGCCGGGGCAGCGCTAGAGCTGGAGTGAGCTGCTGTTTTATCTCCCTTTCCCAGTCGTACTGAAAAGCTTTATTTTATTTATAAACTTTGAACTATTTTCAGATAAAATGCCATTTTTTTGCTGTCATCCTTGATCTTCCGTTCCATTCTCTCCTGAGCGAGCCTTAGAGGGAGACGGCACGCTCACAATCAGATAGCACTATCAGCGCTCTGCAGCTGCACCGCCATGTGCCGCTGCTGCTATCACCGGCCGGCACACACACGGCTCCACTAGCACACACTAACTCTGAGCACTGAAATGAATTCCCTTTTCTTCTGACGCCACTGAACTAGCTGCAGAAAAAGAATCTGCAATGCATCCCCTGATCTATCTGCAAATCCAGACACTCACTCACACACAAATACATTTAGCTCCTCTCCATTTTTCACTTTTAAAAGTCCCCCTCTCACATATATGCAAACTCTGCAGCTACACTAAAGTCAGGACAAAAGGACAGAAGAATGTGAAAGACTTCACCTAAAAGCGACAAAGAGATCCTTGAACAATATAACAATATGTACATTGTTAAAATGTAACAAATATGCATCAAATATACAAAGCTTTTATTTCATTCATTCCATACACAATGGCGGTGAGCTACAACTGTAGCCAGAAGTGAGGCTAACAGTCTACACCTCAGGCACCCACCAGTAAGTGTCTTGCCTAAGGATACAACTGCAGTTTAGCACTTTAAACCTCAGCCACCCCACTGTGGCACCTGGACCTGTTACGAGCGGTCTCCCATCCCAGTTCTAACCAGGCCTTACCCTTTAACGAGCAATAGCCACATTCTGGATTGTAATGATATATTGTATGGAGCAAAGTATTCAGACACCCTTTCACACATTATATGAGATATCTGGCATTCCCTTTTTGCCAAAAAAAAGTATTTTGTTCCCATTGTTCTAGCCTTTTCAGTGTCAGCTCTCATCCAGCTCTGTGACTCCTGCTGCTTATCACAAAACCAGCTCTTCAATCCTTATTATAGCTGCTGTGCTCGTGTGGCCACAGTCTGATAAAAATACAATAGAAGATGGGGCCGACTACAATAGTGCAGGGCCAGGACCCGCCCACACCCCCTGCTCTGTGCACAGTCCACTGGCCTCTTCAGGCACTGGGGGAATGCATCTGCACATCAGCATCATTCCTCTGCACACCGTCTCTGATCTCACTGCTACCAGATCAGCTCGAGTAGAAGAAAACATGTAGAATGTAGTGCATGTTATGATGAAGAAATCCCTTTAAACAATGAATTGTACTGCTTTAAGTTTCTTACCACACTGTGTCCCAGCAGCTTATCAACTATAGCCCGTAGATCAACAGAGATTTCAGAAGTATGTGGAATATAAATCCCCACTCTGGCTTTGTCCTTTGCCCAAGCAACACAAAGTGATAAATCCATGCTACAGTACAGGTTCAATAAAGGAGCTTTGTCATCACAACCTCAAGGAGGATCTGTGGATCTCCAAACCCAGTACAATTACTTTAGCGGCAAAGGAAATGTTGTGCTTCAGTGTGTACATCTGTTTGCGTTAATATCAGGCTTCTGTTCAGTGTTTACATACACCACTAATCAAGCATCTTTATTGGCATGTGGGAACAAACAAAAGATATAGGCATGTTCTGCACACTTGCACATGCAAATGTAAAAACAGCGGTCAATTAAAATGTGGCAGAGCATGGCAAATGTAAAATCACTCCTGGCAGCTAGGCAGTGCCAGCTTCTTCAGCTCCTTCTCTTTCCTGCACCAACAACCTCCATTACTTCTTACTTGCTTCCCTCCTTGCCCCCCTCCTCCTCTCGTTCCTTTATCCTGCGCGCCTGGCATATTCAGATACTGAAGTCCTCATTACAGCTCAATCCAACCTCAGCAAACACACAAACAGATTAGCCGCTTAAGACGCTCCCAATCCCCCTCTCTCTGGCTCCTCTGCAGTGCTATCAGGCCGCCGCACACCCCTGTGAGATGAGCCAGGGGCAAGGCTTACTGCGCAGACTGCAGCCTCCGCATGCTCCGCACCAAATCCCCCTGCGTCACAGCCCCGTGTCACAGCTGCCCCTAATACAATTAAAAGTCATTTGCAGAATGCATAGGCTTAGAGGATCACTGTGTGGGTGGGGGGTTAAATTGGGAAGGGGGGTAAAGAGTTGGGGCATCAGCTCTTGCCAAAAAATGCAGTATTTTAGGAAACTGTAAAAGGCGCCCACACACTTTGCTGTGACAATCAAACAGTTGATCTTTTGTGTTCACAGGGCTCATTCTGTCTGGAGCAAGTTTAACAATGTTGCAAACATTTTAATCTTTCAATTCAAACAAGGGGACAGTAGATGGAGGCATGTGTACATTTACAGCTGGGTTGCCAAACTTTTAAACCACACAAAAGGAAAAACAAATGAACATGGTGGGTTCTGACATGTATGTCAGAACTATCTGCTTCTACAACTAGTTTTTTTTGGGCCTTTGTTACATCTTTGGATCAACTTTCTCGGGGAAAATTTGCATTCTCATCATGTATCAGCTCTCAAAATGTTACTTAAAAAGGCTTTTTCTGTAAGGAGAAACAAAATGTATAGAAACAAAAACTCTATTGAGTAAACCCATGTTTGAGAGTGATGTAAAAATGACTTATAAAAGTTATTTGCTTCAGTGCCAAAGTAAATCTCTTACCGAACCGGCTTTAATATGCTCAGGCCACCAGGCAATGGCTGGTTCCCTCATTCCCCCTTCAAAAGTTGTCTCCTTTCCACAGAGAAAAGGGCCATTGCTGCCACCTGCACATTAAAAGTAGACACAGATAATTGACAAAAGTTGTAACAGTTTTTAGACAAGCTTTGTTCAAAAGTACCTGCAATCCCAGATACGAGAGCAGCACCATTATCTGAGGTGAAGAAGACAAACGTATCGTTGTCTATGTCCAGAGACTTCAGCAAAGACAGAATCTGACCCACACTGTGATCCAGCTCCATCACCGCATCACCATATCTGCATCACACAAAGGAATCAGCCACTGGCCCCATGGACCTCGAGTGTATTTCTAACAACACTAATAGTCGCCAGCTTAGTCTCCATAAAAGCAAATAGTGTTGGGGAGAATAGTTTATGAATGTATTTAACGGTAGTTAAAATTTAGTTCAGTACTGTATTCTTAATACTTTCAGAATAATTTAGTTACTTTCAGCTCAATTTAGTTATATATATTTTTAATTAACATTATTTTAACCAGAAACATTTAGGATAAACTTTGGTTTTGTAGTTTCTAATGCATTTTCATTATTGTTAATAGTGGTATTTGTTGTCATCTATTTCCCCACAATGCCATAAGGGTTCTCTTTGTTTTATTGAATTGCCTACAATGTTACACAATATAGTATTGAACTCATTTGCATGTATACATCTTTCTTTTTTGTCAGTTTTAGTGTCTTTTATTTAAGTCACTTAAGGTACTTTCCATGGCTCTTATTTCATACAACATTTACATTACGTCTGACTTGGTGGTTTCTTACTGGATCTACACAATAGCGCGTTCAAACACAACACACATTTTAAATGAATGAAACTTGTGAAGTGCCGGTGGGATAAAGATTCCTATAGGGAGAGCCAAGTAAAATTATTAATGATGGTTACAAGAAGATTAGTGTTTGAAGGTTGTATGTGTAGAGTTGTGCATATGAGGCAGACGCTCATCCTCTCTGTTCAAAAGAAGAACTGTCTGTACGTCTGCTCACAGTCGATCACCATCATTTACCCATCGCTCTGATCAGATTGAGAGATTTCTTTGCGGCAAAACATATGGAAGCTGTTGCCATACTTTTCCACAACATTAAGATGGCTTATTCAGCGTTTCTCTAATTGGTTGAGAGAGTCCTGTCAGTAAATCACGCGGCAGAGATCACGCCCTGTCACAGTTGAAATGTCTATGATTGAAAAAGTATGTAGATAAGCTGGACAGGCAACTTCAGGGTAGAGTTGCTAGGACATTGTTCATAATTAAAATACTGACAGTCTTTGCAATAGATTATCTCTATCTACAGTGCCTTGCGAAAGTATCCGGCCCCCTTGAACCTTTCAACATTTCGCCACATTTCAGGCTACAAACATAAAGATATAACATTTAAATTGTTTGTCATGAATCATCAACAAGTGGGACACAATCGTGAAGAGGAACGAAATTTATTGGATAATTTAAACTTTTTTAACAAATAAAAAACTGAAAAGTGGGGCGTGCAATATTATTCGGCCCCTTTACTTTCAGTGCAGCAAACTCACTCCAGAAGTTCAGTGAGGATCTTTGAATGATCCAATGTTGTCCTAAATGACTGATGATGATAAATAGAATGCACCTGTGTGTAATCAAGTCTCCGTATAAATGCACCTGCTCTTTGATAGTCTCAGGGTTCTGTTTAAAGCGCAGAGAGAACCATGAAGACAAAGAACACACCAGGCAGGTCCGAGATACTGTTGTGGAGAAGTTTGGATACAAAAAGATTTCCCAAGCTTTAAACATCTCAAGGAGCACTGTGCAAGCAATTATATTGAAATGGAAGGAGTATCAGACCACTGCAAATCTACCAAGACCCGGCCGTCCCCTCCAAACTTTCATCTCAAACAAGGAGAAGACTGATCAAGGGAGGCCCATGATCACTCTGGATGAACTGCAGATAACTACAGCTGAGGTGGGAGAGTCTGTCCATAGGACAACAATCAGTCGTGCACTGCACAAATCTGGCCTTTATGGAAGAGTGGCAAGAAAGCCATTTCTCAAAGATGTCCATAAAAAGTCTTGTTTATAGTTTGCCAAAAGCCACCTGGGAGACACACCAAACATGTGGAAGAAGGTGTTCTGGTCAGATGAAACCAAAATCGAACTTTTTGGCCACAATGCAAAACGATATGTTTGGCGTAAAAGCAACACAGCTCATCACCCTGAACACACCATCCCCACTGTCAAACATGGTGGTGGCAGCATCATGCTTTGGGCCTGCTTTTCTTCAGCAGGGACAGGGAAGATGGCTAAAATTGATGGGAAGATGGATGGAGCCAAATACAGGACCATTCTGGAAGAAAACCTGTTGGAGTCTACAAAAGACCTGAGACTGGGACGGAGATTTATCTTCCAAAAGGACAATGATCCAAAACATAAAGCCAAATCTACAATGGAATGGTTCACAAATAGACGTATCCAGGTGTTAGAATGGCCAAGTCAAAGTCCAGACCTGAATCCTATTGAGAATCTGTGGAAAGAGCTGAAGACTGCTGTTCACAAACGCTCTCCATCCAACCTCACTGAGCTCCAGCTGTTTTGCAAGGAAGAATGGGCAAGAATTCCAGTCTTTCAATGTGCAAAACTGATAGAGACATACCCCAAGCGACTTACAGCTGTAATTGCAGCAAAAGGTGGCGCTACAAAGTATTAGCGCAAGGGGGCCGAATAATATTGCATGCCCCACTTTTCAGTTTTTTATTTGTTAAAAAGATTAAATTATCCAATAAATTTCGTTCCACTTCACGATTGTGTCCCACTTGTTGCTGATTCTTGACGAAAACATTTATTTTTATATCTCTATGTTTGATGCCTGAAATGTGGCAAAATGTTGAAAGGTTCAAGGGGGCCGAATACTTTCGCAAGGCACTGTATATCTCCTGCACGATACTGGGGGGCTGTGCCTTGTTTTCCTTGCGTCCTGGTGTTTTGCGCAATTTGCAAAACACAAAGGTAGCACCTTTTTAAATACATTGAACATCTTAGTCTGCTGCTGGTTGTGTTTAGTGAACCTCAAACAAAAGATTTTCTGTATTTCCTTGTTAATTTACCCGTAAATGTGTTCCCCACAAAGTACGGAAGCCCAAACAATCAAGAAAAAACACCCAAAGACTTCTCTCACATTTCCTACCCTCGCGCCTCTTTTTAGGGTTATTGTACTATTGTAACTTTTCCTGCAAAATGTGCACATCCTGCTATTCTACTAAGTAAATCTAATCGAGATCAGGATGTTGAGCAGAATTTTATTCACAATTAGATATTTGCTTATTGGGTTAGTTTGGTATGTATTTCTCCAAACCTCTATAGGTCATGTAGACTGCAGTAAACTGGCAGGGTGGGACCCACATGTTAGTTACAGGTTCATTATTAGTGAGTTGTGAGCCTTTTCAATATTTTCAAGATATTGATCTACTAAGTGTTTTTCTTTTCAAGTTTTTTTTTACTCACTACTCCACTGCAAAAAAGTAATTCATACATTTTCTTGAAAAATTGCCATTGAAGGAAATGTATCCATAGTGCAGGTTCATAAACATACTTTTGATAATTTTAGCTTTGTAGTTTTATTCAATGCTATTCAAACAGCTGATTTATGAAAATAATATTTTAGATCAGACATGTCAAGCCCCATATTTTTACTGACTTGCAGCATAGATGACAGTGACCTATTACGACAAGCTATACATCATTATTTAAGAGCAAATCATTTAATTGATTCTAAACTAAGTTTAACACCACTGCATAGCATTATGGATTAAATTACTATAAATATAAAATAACGAATATATTACATATTATTCAAATGGTCATGACACCATTCCAGTTGAGAACCACTGATGTGGGAAAGCACCAAGGAACAATACCATTCTCTTCACAGCTCTGCTATCTGCCTCAACCTGCTTTCCATCGTAAGAGCTTAATGCCACACTACAAGCAACAAAATAACATCTCTATTAAAAAGGTTGGTGTTCTGCTCATTACAGAATCAGTGAATAGTGCCCCTACAGATTTGTCACATAAAAGCAAAAGTAAATGCATGGTAAAAGCACCTTCCCCGTTGGCTCTTTCCTCTGAAACTCTCGGAGGCGTACACTGGGGTGTGTGTGGCATCAGGCGCCCAATACAGGAAGAAGGGCCTCTGAGCTGCATTCTGCCGGAGAATAAAGTCCAGGCCCTCCTGTAGAGGACATTTTACACATAAACCATTGCAATTATTTTTCTATTCATTACACATGTTCATACTTGTGGTTAGTTGCCAAAATAGACCCAGAGTTAGTGTGGGGGGAGCATGGAAGCTAGTTATAGTATGTAATTTGGGAAAAATGACTCTGATCCATTGTCATATTCCAGATCGCTCTGAAGTGAAATGTATTTTGAACATAAATCACAAGTGAACTGAAAAAACATCACTTTCACCTGCAAAAAGATCTGCGTCAAATTGGATTCTCCAGTTCTTCTGTCGATCTTAAACTCTTCATAGTACCTGAGCCACAAAACATTAAAAGGGCACAAACGTTATTAAAAACTTTTTTTTTTCTGATAAAACACATTAAAAACGTGTGTTTCCCACCTTTGGAATGTATTTTTGTGTTATAGTTAAGTAATAAATCAGTAAAATAACTTTTTAATATCAACGCCTCTGATTGGCCAGTAAAATGATGACGTACTTAGAGGGGTCGCAGCTCTCGCCTCACTGTTTATGGCACTGCTCCTGCTGCCGCTTTGACACAAATAAACCTTAAAATGGGTGTATTTTGTATGGCCCCGGGATGCAGCAATGAAAGTTACCAAAAGAAGAGTGTAAACAGCAGTCCCTACGATCTTTGACTTATTCAGAGAAGGCTAACACTTATATTTATTTATATATAACACGCTATTTACTCACTCGGGTGGCACCATCGAGCTCAAACTGACCGCATCTGCAAACTGGGTCGAGACGGGTCGGACCTAGCCTGGTTGTACCACACCTTAGTACAAATTTCATTTCATACCAAGGTCTGGATTTGCTCCATTTTGCTCCGTGAACAGGTGGGAGGGGTTAACTCCTTTTGCAGATTGAAACGATTGGATTTGAGTTTACCGTGACGTATGTAATGAGTGTGTTGTTAGCATTAGCTAACGGAGCCCGTGGGGAGTAGTGCCACAATCTTGACCAGCGATTACATTTGCTAAACATTCCTCTTGCTCCTGCTTCAATTTCTTGATAGAACCAGACCGGATTACTTTACTACCGCATGCTTCGCTACTGCAACCTGCCCGTTCGGCGCAAACTCTTGACGTCACCGGCACCAACCTACAACGCGCTCTCTGAGTAGCCGGTCAAAATTTGACTGATTGTAATCGCTAACACAGGGACCAGACCCAGACCGTTACATGCAGTGAAATGATGATTGAGCGGAGTGTACGGATGGCTATGGCCAGGCTAGGCCGGACCCGGTCGGACCATGACATGACTCCAGCCCGTGGAAACGGCCCTAATGTCCGCAAATGTCCATTTCTTGCAGATTTCTCCTCATCTGAACCGAGTCAGACTCCTCAAAATCAGAATTACTGTCATAACAAGTACGCAAGGGCTCATAAATAAAAAACCCTGACTTGTATTGTCCATCACTGAATAACAAATATCTGTTTAAAACGTCCGTACACAACGTTGTGGCTTACAAATGCATATCAACAAAGCCCAATGACATCTACGTGTACGTCACTTCCGGTCTCGGCAATTTTTCCGCAAATTTCTTTTTGCATGATAATTATTGATAGAAACCGCTAAGGGTGAAACTATCTGTCAAAATTAGTTTTATTTAACACAAAAAAGACCACAATATACCAACAAAATAAGATTAGTTCCCTTTTAACATAAGTCAGCCTTAACATTGCATGAAATATAAACCCTGCAGAGTTCAAAGAGTTAGTTATTAAAAGTTAATTTGATATACAATATTTTTTTGTACATTATGTATCTGCATTTTAAATCTACCTAAAAAACACAATTTTATATGAAGAGTTCATTTGTAAAAACAGATAATTCCGCTATGAAAATGTGTCACATAAGGTTGTATTCCTCTATTTATAATCATGCCACAGTCTACATGTTTTGTATGGCAATAAAACTACTTTGTGAAGGGTAAATTTTAGTTTTTAGTTGAGCTTCAATTATTTTCATAATTCCACCTAGCTGTTTTTTTTAAATGCACTGTTCATTTTTATATTTGTCACTGAAAAACAACTTCCGTGGAGTAAATAGATCACTCAAACAACAAGCCTCTCGTACTTTTTTTAAAGTCTAATGTATTAGGTTGATTTTAGTGGATCCTCAAAGACATTGTTGGACATGTATCATGAGTGGTGGTTAAACATTACCTCCCAATCATTTCACTGTTGTTGTACACAGGAATATTAGGCTCGTTTGTGTCGTTGTAGGGGCCGACGTGGCAATTTGGAGCTCCAAACCATTCATCAAAGCCGTGTTTTAGGGGATGATATTGTGGTCTATGGCCAAGATGCCTGAAAGAGAAAAAAAAAACACTTTGATTGAGTTCATTATTTTGATACAATATTATTAACATTTCTGCATGAACTGATCTGTGCAGCATTCCACAAGTTATAGATGAAATTGTGTAATAGTTTTTAGATAGGATAAGAGAATGGGTTTGGGTCAACACTTTGAGTAATTTTGGAAGGAGAAATTGCACTTCAGTCCGTGCTAAACCTTTGCAATTAGAAGGCTTGTTTATTTTCAGGAATAATATTATTAGAAGTTAAAATTTTCAGTATAATGATTGATCGCACACATGGATCTACTATATTCAATTACATTCAAGTGTGACTTTTTTGCCAAATATTTTTGTCCATACTAAATGTAACTAAATACAAAAGATAGATGTCCCATTTCTAATCTAAAGAAACTAATAGCTCATACCATTTGCCGACTATCTTACTGACATAGCCTTTCTTCTTCAGCATCTCTGGCAACAATATTTCATCTTTAGAAATTCCTCCAACTATCACTTGTGGTGTGTATGCTGTAAATATTTAAAAAACAAAATTATATGAAAGAAAGAAATATCATTCACTTTTGAATAAATGAGCATTGTACCATTTCGGGCATGTGCATTGGTGGTGTAAAAACCGTTCCGGACTGGCAGCCTCCCAGTAAGAAGAGCAGCTCTTGCTATATAGAAAGTAAATATGAATGTAAACAAGTTTAGAATGTAGTGTTCCTTGTTGGACACATTTTTCCAACATGATTTGAACAACAGCACAAGGGCAGACTTACACGGGGAACACAGAGGATTGGCAGTGTAGAAGTTTGGAAGCAACATCCCCTCTGCTGCCATTGCATCCAAGTTTGGCGTCTCTTTAGAGGGCTGCCCCAAAACCCCCAGATCTCCCCACCCCATCTGAAAGAACATAGAACACAACAGATGATATACTGAAGAAAATGCCAAAAGATGCAGAGGTCTCGGATCGTGTGAGAGCAGAATACACCGCATAAACAACACAGCGTTCACATTTTTTATTCAAGTCAAAAAACGAAGCTCCCCTCAGCATCTCAGAGTCACCAGTAGATAGATAAGTTTACTTTGACCTTCAGATAACCAGAACATCAAGTGACCACCTCAGTTTTATTTAATAATTGCAAAAAAAAAAGTATTTCATATAATACCACTTACCACTGTGCTATAAAACAGTGTTTACAAACAGGAAAAGAAAACATTACTCACGTCATCCATAAGCATAATGATGATGTTTGGAGGTTTGATAGCTGAAGTCGTCTTTGTCAGATAAAAACATATTGTAACAGAAAAAAGGCTCAAAGCAGAAAAAGCTGTGCGTCCTTTCATTGCTGAAGTTGAGGTTGAATCATGTGAGAGTCACGTGTCCCTAAACGTGTCCGCGCATCACCCAAAAGACTGCAGATGTATTCCATTGATATTCAGATGTTTTCTCCTTAACGTTTCTGCAATTTTCAACTTTAACATTCTAACCATATACCTTTTTAGATAATATATTTTAATACATATACAAACCTGTAGAAACACTTATTATTTATTAGTGGTAGTGTTTTTCTTCAAAGTCACGTGATCGCCACCAGCGCTCAAGCAGGAAGTAAACATGGCGGTGTGTATAGCTGTCATCGCTAAAGAGGTATTTCACATGTCATTTATTCAAGATGCAAACCCTGCGGTTTACATTTAATTTCTATTGCATTACTTGAACATATATATCTTGCTTATAGTTGCTTTTTGTTTATGAACCTGTGGCAACAAACCAACGAAACACCGTTAGCATCATTTAGCTAGCTAATGCTATTCCATTCACCATTTCATATTCTGTGTTAGCATGTTAGCATGTTCTTTCATTGGTCTTCCGTCACGTCTTTCTACAGAACTATCCACTGTACATCCGAAGTGTTCCTACTCAAAATGAGCTGAAATTTCACTACACAGTCCACACGTCCCTGGATGTGGTGGAGGAGAAGATTTCAGCTGTGGGCAAATCTATTAGCGACCAGAGGGAGCTGTATCTGGGTCTGCTCTACCCGACTGAAGACTACAAAGTGTATCCTTCCCATTGCCAGTCTATTACATTTGGTTGAAAGGTCAAACCTGTAAATTTTCTTTAACCGACAATTAGATATGGCTATGTAACAAACTCAAAAGTAAAATTTGTCATTGTTGTGGATTCATCGAATACGTCACTACGAGATAATGAAATCAGAAGTGTAAGTGAAGTAGTCTAAAATTGAAAATTTCAACTGGATTAACTTTGCGTTTACATTACAGATGTTTAGGAAATTGCACAACTCTTTCACTGATGTCATGTGCAACCCCTTCCACAACCCTGGAGATCTGATTCAGTCAAAGTAAGAAATCTTGGTTTAAAAAAAAAAGTAACCACAAAAATAACGCTATTTTCTCCAGGGCATTTGATGGCATAGTCTCTGGGATGATGGTCTCAACTGCTTGACGTTTTCCATCTTAATCCACTTTTTCTCAAGCATTGTTCTTTGTGTGATGTATGCATTTGTAAATAAATAACTGAAGAATGTTTAAAAAAAAACGTATTTATTCATTTACATACAAAGCAACAATACAGAAATGTCCAACAAGAATTAAATAAAAATACAAATACAGATTGTCCATGCAATAATGAATATGCACAACTCTTCTTTGAGAAGACTTTCATGTCATCAAACCTTCGTCGATCCGTTTAGTCCATTACTCTACAAGCATTTTAACGTTGGTGTGGATAGTGGTGTCGACCAGATTCAGCACCCACTTCTTCAGATGGAGGGGTGATGAGGAGAAGACAGGGATAACGCTTGTTCACCTGTTCATGATGATAATCCATGTGTCCCCACGGCCTCTTCCCTACTGGAGGGCCTCCATAGTACGGGTATGGGCTCTGATGTTGCGGTCTTGGCGTCTGGTACCTGAACCTGCCTCGAGAGCTGCTGGGGTATCTGGGAGGTCTGAAACCTCGAGCTCGGCCTCTGGGTGGTCCTCCACGATGACCGCCCCGGTCTGTGGTGCTGATCCCAGGCATGTTTGTTCTTTTAGGCATTACCTGCAAATCCATTGCAGTACACCCAAACATACACCATTACTTCAAATCTGTGCTATTTTTTTTACTTAATGGTTTTACCTTTAGAACTCTACCCCTAAACAAGGTCTCATGCAATCCAATGGCACAATCCACAGACTCACGATCAGAAAACTCAATGTAGGCAAACCTTTAAAAAGAAAGGGGGGACAAAATTTGCAGTCCAACTATAATTGTTCAATTGAGTTTAATGTTACATACCCTTTAGGATGACCAGAAAACCTGTCACAAAGGATGGTAACCCTGTTTACTGGGCCGCAACCATTGAAATGGATTTCCAACTCATCTGCTGTTGCACCATAGTCCACCTGGCGTTTGAATTTCCGGGTTAAAGATTACACTTTATTTACGCCATGTCAATAAATTGTCCATATTACATTTCCAACGTAGACAGATCTGTTGTCAGCATCTATCCTTTCCTCAGGTGTCATGTTGTAAAACGGCCCTGTGGACCAAGAAAATAAACTATTGCACAAAGATGTCATTCGATTTCATCACTTTGTTCACACAAATCCCTAAACTGAACCAAACACTGAACAACAGACAGAATGGTTGGCCTGGGGCAGAGAGGACCCTCCTTTTTTCGTCTCATTGGGCAGTGATGAGGCACATGTGAATGCTACTGTTGCCACACTCACAAGTGTCCCAGGTGTTCACCTGCACACCTAACCATCATGTTCTAGACATGGCAAAGGGGGGATAACCATTTAGTACTTGACAAAACGGGAGCGACACACAGACCTTTTAAGTCATTTAACTGAGAACTACTTGTCAGAAGCTGCATGTCCACAGCATCACACTCCTCTAATCGTAGACGTTCGGACTCTTCCTCCATCTCCATCTCGTGCACCCTGGCCTTGATCGCTGCTAGCTCCTGTGGAAACAATTGTTAGTGCTTAATTTACCTTCTGGTGTAGTATGCGCCACAGATTACAAATTTGTAAATACACATTTTGTTATTGCTCCGCAAGGGACGCAAGTATGACAAACCACGGATCTATTATATATTAGCATCAAACTGATCAAATGGAAGGCCATTTTCAAAGATGATGCAAAAAAAGTAGTATGATTTTAAAATATAGCTTTGCTTCCTATCTGCAAATAGTATGTAAGCGCATATAACACATCTCCAATCTGGTATGATAGACAAAGCTGACAACTTTTCCCTCACTGGTCGGGGAACTCGACCAGTGAGGGAAAAGTTGTTACAGAATGGCATGCTCTAGATAGAACAGTAAATGTGCTTTATTCTTATGGACATTGGTTCATCTGCTAGTCTATGGACGTCTGTTGGGGGGGAAAAAAATATACAAGTCACTTGAAATAAAATACGTTGACATGAGGCTCCACAATTAACAAAAAATAAATAGAAGTTGCGTCAACATTTATACAAAAACATGAAGCAATGTTCATCTAGTTAAAGTGACCCATCTTCTGATCTCCATATAAACAAGGGCAGACACTATTGCAGTCCATGATTGTAACAAGGAGTTATAGGCTTTTTTTTGTGCGGTAAGAGGCTGTCTTTATATATGATGTCTGTGCGATTGTCCAAGTCATTTGCGTATGTCACACTGATTTATTTGAAAAATGTTGTCAAATGGAACGACATATTGCGACAGTAGATCGACATGCCCTGTACAATAATGACACATACTTGAACTGTGTGTTTAGCATTAGCTCCACTGCCTGGAACGGGCTAAACCAAAGACTATAGTTGTCACACATGACACAACGCTGAGAGGAAAGGACTTACAGGGTCTTCGGCGTAGTGCTCCCCGAAGCAGTCGTCTCCCATGAAGTCCTGGTCCATGTGGTTCTGCGCCATATTCACTGCTGCATCCGCATCTGCAGAGGTCTGCAGTGGTGACCAGAGAAAAAGACACGCACTGCACACTGCCGCACAACACACGCGGTTTGCGCACCTCTGCGCACCTGACAGCGGACACCAGTGATGGATACAGTCTGATAGAAATCACCTGCGGGGCACTCGTGACGCACAGGCTCGTGGTGATTGGCGCAGAATGCACGCCCATTCATAACTTTACTTCATAGTGACGCTGACATTTAATACTGCTGTAATTACACAATAGTCCTTTGAAATAGAGAAGCTGACATCTCAGTGGCACTATCCTGGTAAAGATATCAAAATAGTGTAATATATAGGTTTGATCAATAGGTCTGTCATTGGACTATATGTTTACACTGCAACCTATTTCTTGAGTATCTTTCATGCACTGTCTCATACCCTATGGTAGGGTATTGTACAGTATCACAGTAGTATTCTGTATGTTAATTAATTGTACTGTATTCTGTGTATTATTGTGTTCAATGCAGACAGGATTGGGGAAAAAATAAGCGTCTGCTTCATCCAACCCCTTTAGAGTGAAAATGTTGCATGTTTGAAACAAAATCTAACTAAATATTATTTGAAGGAATTCAAGTGAAACGTCCTTTTTCCATTACAGTTTAGCTTAACTAAAGATAATATACAGTGCCTCTCAAATGTATTACAGCTATAGATCTTTTTCACATTGTGTCATATTTACAACCATAAACATAAAGATTGTATTTAGTCTTTTTTACTGAAAGTCCAGACACAAGTAAGAGACAACTGTGAAGTAAAAGCAAAATTATACATGATTCTGGTATTTTTCCAATAAATAGACAACCGAAAAGTTGGGCATGCACAAGTATTCATACAGCATGAGTAATCCTTTGTGGAACCTCTTTTTGCTGCAATAACAAGAGAAAATCTTTTAGGGTATGACTCTACAAGTCTAGAGAAAGTTTAGCCCATTCCTTTTCACACTCGAGCTCTGTCAAATTAGACAGAGAGTGTTTGTGAACAGCAGTTTTCAGGTCTTTTCACAGATTTTCTATTGGATTTAGGTCTGGACTTTGACTCGGCCATTCTAACACATGCAAATGTTTTGTTTTAAACTATTCCAGATTTATCTTTGTGTTTAGTTGTTCTGCTGGAAGGTGAATCTTCACCGCAGTCTCAATTCTCTTGCTGACTCAAGCAGGGTTTCCTCGTAAATGTCCCTGTATTTGGCTCCATCCGTCCCTCCATCCCTATAGCTATTCTTACCATCTTCCCAGTGCCCGCTGAAGAAAAGCAGCCACATAGCATGATGCTCCCCCCCACCATATTTGACACTGGGGATGGTGCGATGAGGAGTGTTAGGTTTGCTCCATATATAACGTTTTGCGTTTGAGCCAAAAGTTTAGTTTTGTCTCATCTGACCAAAGCACCTCCTTCCATGGTCGTCCCCCATTTGACTTCTGGAAAACTTCAACAATGGCTTTTTTTCTTGTGTAGAGTATGACTGATAGCTTTCCCGTGTGATTCCCCCAGCTCAGCAGCAGTACTGTATGAGCTTGTGCTTCTGGGAGTTCCTTTCTCACAATGTAGCATATGAACTTTTAGACTGTGTGAAATTGTGAATTAACTAAACTAAACTTTGCAGCTCCTCCAGAGTCAAGGGGCACTTGGTTATCTTTCCGACCAGTGCTCTTCTTGTTCAATCTGTTATTTTAAGTGGACGGCCGTGTCTTGGTGAGTCCGCAGTGGTGTCTTGATCTTTCAACTTTTTTGAGATGTCCAAATCTTGGGAAATCTTGGTGTAACTTAACTTTGCTTTAAACTGATCTCCACAACTCTATCCCTGACCTCTCTGGTGTGCCTTGGCCTCATGATGTTTTTTATTGACAAATACACTCCGGCCATAGCTCTGAGACTCTTAGGGTGCTCCGAAAAAAGCGGTATGAAACTTGTGCTAGCCCAACTTTTCACTTTTCTATTTTTAAGAATTACAACAGTATCATGCATCATTTAACTTTCACTTTACAGTTTTTTTTTACTTTCAGTAAAACAATAAAATTCCTGAATCTTTATATTTATGCTTGTAAACATGACAACATGAGCAAAAGTTCACACTGCAGAGATACCTTTGAGAGGCACTGTATGTATATACTTCACACACACGTTTTAATGTATGATAATAATAAATTAATATGTATATTGGAAATGATAATTTTCCCAAAACATGCATTGTAGTTTTGATTTTTGGGTGGCTCTCATATATGTGGCCCAATTTAATTTAAATGATTATGCTTTGTGCCAAATTCTAATATGGTTCCCCCCCCCTCCATGTAATCTCATGTCCCCTGGAGGTCACGCCCTGCACTTCAGTCTGTTTTAGTCAGTGCTATAATTCCATGTCGCACATCAAGACACAAAGTGATAATTGACGAGAAATACTTGATTTCATGTTTTAATTACACAGTTACATTGTTCAACACAGACAATAACCTGAATTAGAATGTTTTACAGCTTCACACATCCAACAGAGCGAACAGTTAAAGAGCAGTATAGCAACAGGGAGGAAAGCATGCAAGAAATAAATATAAATCAGAGCTTGATTCATCTGGCACAGTTTACTTCATCTGAAACAGCAACATGACCTTTTTGAGGAGGAAAATGAAAAATAAATGAGAGAAATCCAAGAGTCAAACCTTTCCTAGAATGTGTTTTCCATATTATTGCACAATACAGCATTCTTCCCTATGGAAACAATACCATTCAATGTAAAGAAACAGGACAGTCCAGAGCAATGGCTTTTGACAAAACTTTCTCCACTTTTAGCTTTTGTGTTTTGAGTGTCAGTATTCCCACAGAACTTGTTTTTGGAGCAAGATAAATAACATGTAAAAATGGACTGTATTGTGTTCCAGCTATTTTTGAAATTCTCACATGTTTTCTTACTTCTTCATTGACAGGGCTCGCCTTTTACACTGCAACAATAAAGCAAAAAGTCTGTGAATACTAGAATGTACGGTGCAGTAAAAATCCCTCAACCTGTTTTTGGGCTCAAACATCAAAAAAGAAAAGTGGCACAAAATGATTTTGGTTGTATTTTGGTCATTGTTGGTGATGTTGGGTTTGGCTTGATTTCTGTGATGGCTTACATGCAGACATGGAGAAAAAAACTCAATTTATCGGGAAGACCGTTGGATGTGTATGTATAATGTATTGTAGGACTTGTTTTATTTAAAGCTTTAAAAGGTTTCAAGTACTTGGGTTTTCGGTGATGCAAATAAAACATCCATCCATCCATCTATCTTCTACCCTTTAATCCATTTCTGGGTCAGGGGGGTGGCAGTCAGAGATGCCACCCAAGTCTCATAGCACCAGCCCCTCACTGACCCTCTGCAGGTGGTGAGTCCACAGGAGGACGGCTGCTCTCTGAGTGTGAGCATAGCCTTGATCTTTCAGTGGGGGCTTTGGGCAAAGTGGGGTTAAGTGTCTTGCCCAAGTACACAACGACAGCAGTCATCAGTGGGAGTCGGTGGAGAAGGTGCAGAGGTGGGAAATAAAACATAATCAAAATAAACTATTTGTTGCCATTCATTACAATCAGACACCCACCATGCATTCTGTATATCTCTGCAAAGGCATCAGCCTTTGTAAAGAAGAGGCTTGCATTGTTTTAGCCATGCACGAATCACCGCGTGGGAAACTTCCGAGAGCTCCACATGTGAACGCCGCTGCTTTTCATTCATTTTGTTACATGTATTTTGCAGATGCTTTGGTTAACTGGTTAAACAAGAAGATTCTTAACTTCATGATCTGGCAACAATACATATCATCACATCAAAGCATATGTACGCAATGGCATGATAACTTTGGTTTGCACGCTATTGGTTTTGACTAATGGCATTTTAAAATTTTGAATGACTTACAGTAAAGAAATGGTGTGTAGTTGTCGTCTTGGGAAGTTGGGACAGAGAAATGCATCATACACACAGATATCTGGATACAACATTAATAATTCAAATGAATGTTTAAAGCAGGTCCACTTCCCATAGAGACAGCTACACATCACTAAATGTAAAACAAGTCTGGTGCGGGTATGGAAGAGTGGAGTGTGGTAAAAATACATGTCTTTTCACTTTTCTTTTTCCTTTTGTGTATGAATCCATGTCTGCATTTCAGCCCTGCTTTTCATAATCCCAGGCCAATGCTTCCTGGTGGTTAGCTGTATGGTCACTGGAGGTAGCTGGTGCGTCAACGGGATGGGGTCACGAAGAGCGGTCTGCATTTTATGTGTACGTTCTATCAACTGTAATGCCGAAAGATTTCATTTATCCATGTTTTGGTCCACATTTTGCTAGAGAATAGTCGGAAAAGGGTGACTGTCTGGGAAGGTTGGTGTCTTGATTATAATTATCTATATATATAAAACAAAAATTAAATCCTTTACATATGACGTACATATGTCTGGGAGAAAAAAACTTAGCTTAACACTGGTGCTTCAATTTATATAAAATACAATTGTTTTTCTTGTATTTCCATTGGATTGAAAAGGTTTTAACATCAGTATCAACTATCAAATGTGACTTATGTGTGATAAATATTTTTCAAAGTTCCTATTGATGAGGACTGTTCTCGCTCTGTTTTCATCCTTGGAGCCAAATCTCCTCCACTAGGTCATCTTTTTAAATGAGTTTGAGAAAATAACAAAATGAAAAAGACAAATGCACTGTGAAAAAAAAAAAAAAAAAACATTTTCTGGACTTTAATCCTTAAAGGTTTCTGTTATTTGGCAAACACATTTTTGGACCTCATTAAATACTATGTACATTCACATTAATTAAGTTACTGATGTTTTAAATATATGTATATGTATCTATATTATATGACACCCTATGGGCAGTTGTTGAGGTTCCATTCAGTAGCTGAATTCTCTTCATATTGCACCTCTGTCCTCTCACTGTCTTACAATGCGAGCAGTACAAAATATTCTACAAGTGGGCTTTCATTTCATCATTAATATAGATACAACAAATCAAACAATAAGTACAATGGGGGACAGATTTCTCCCTTCAAAAGAGTGTCCTAACTCTTCACTGCTCATTTTCAAACTGACAAGAATTAAACAAAAAAAGTGGCTGACTCAAAAGAAAGTCCAATTTTCAGAATATACACAATTGGGCAGCGCATGTGGACATCAGCGACAAGAGACGTTATTGAAAAGTTGAAAAGAGGAACGATATCTACAAGCAAGTAATAGTCCTGCGTGTGTGAGGCAAAGTCCGAAGCAGAATTCACAGAGTTTTGGGCGTCCATGTTTGTAGTCTTTAGGGAAAAGCGTCGACGTAAGATTTTGGGGGGCGGAGGGGAGGTAGAAAGAGGAGAGCCAAGTCTACACCGCCATTTGATATGCTCTTTTTGTCTCATGCTTTGGAAAAGGATGCGGTAACAGCTATTCCAGGTTGCGTCGGAGCTTTTAAAAAAACAACTCGCAAACAATTCGCAAGTAATTATGTAGAATAGGTGATATTTTTGGCAGCTCCGAAAAAATCCTTTGAGGCCGTCTTCCGTTCCTCCTTGTTCTTTCCCTCTCTTAGTTACCATAAAATCACTATGTGGCAGCGTTTCATCTCATCCATGAAGTCTCTCTTGTAGTTCACAGCATTGTCCTTTTTCACAGTCTGGGCCATTATTGATAGACAGCTGAGGGAATCTACAGCTAAGTCTTCTCAAGTGGCTTTTTCTGTTGAGGAGGTGGTGTTGCTTTTGCGTTTGGTTATGAGTGCTTCTCCTTTATCGCTTACTCACTTTGGCAGTGTAATACAAAAGTTTGGATCAGGTTTATTATTCGTCATCTTTGAATTCATTTGGGTTCACAATGGTGCAGAGAGGTGAGTCCGGTTTCTTGGCTCGCTAGCAAGGTAGTTAGCAGTTTAAAATGTATTTGTTTCATATTTTCATTATTCTTTACTAGAATATTTGGACTTTTAATTTCCCTTAAAGCCAGAAAGAACTAAATAAATACTAAGATGTTTGTCTGAGGAATTAATTGCATCTCAGGCTTCCCTCTTTTATAATAATAGACTGAAAGAATGGTCTTCTGTCTGTTTCAATTAGAGTTGCTAACAGATTCGTAGTGCACGTTTCAAAAGGCTGGGTGTCATTCACTTCATATTTTCTAAATTAAAGGGAAATCCTACCCAAGTGCTTTATTCTTTCTTTTTCACTGCTCCAGTTCAACAGCCCTTGTCTTGTGTCCTTATATGGACATCATTCATCATTATTAAGGGCTTATGTTCAAGTTTTACTCATATTTTGGCTAAATATAACTGATATGTTTCTGAAATTCAGAGGGATGCATTTGGAGAAAGTGTAAGTACTTTCATGGGGAAAAGGTCCACTGAAGGGGCTTAGTGCGATGAAGATTCCTCAGTTTGGGTAAGTGGAGAGTGCACTGTGTCAGTAAACAGAGTTCCATGGTCCGGGGTCAGCGGGAGGTGGCGTCCAGGAGGGCAGGCGTGGCGGGGGTCGTGGAGCGAGAGGCACTGCTGGAACTGCTCTCCTTGGGGCTGGCGGACACACTGGCACTGCCCGCCCCGGCTGCCATACTGCTCTGAGCCGTCAGGGACAAGGGTCCAGGCGGGGTGCTCTCTGAGTGTGTGGGTGGCGCGCTAGAGGAGGTGGAGGAGGCTGAGGAGGGCGGCCCCAGAGGGACACTGCTACCCCCGGGGAGACCCTGCAGGCCCTGGCCGCACACGTGGTGGTGCTTTTCCCAGTCTTTGTGTTGGCAGAAAGAGCCACAGTAGCGCGCCGTGTTACATCCGCTGCACGTCTCACTGGCTTTCCTCCCACAGTTCCAGCAGCTCTGGTCAAACAGAAGGAAGAGAAAGATATTATTAAGGCCTTACAAGTCTGCAAGAAACATCAGTGTTAAGATCTTTGAGCACAGGAAGGGATTTTGTGTGGGTTAGTCTGCAAGGATTTGTTATTAAACCAAGACCACTGATTTGCAGAGCCGGCAGGTGGTGATCAACTGCTCTGTAATAGAGTCAACTGCATCTGTCTGCCGTGATTATCAAGGCACAGAGGTCAGAGATGTCCATCCTCAACCAGCTGTGCCCAATGATACAACACTGTCAGGACTTATTTATAGGAGCCAGTACAAAGAGTAATGAGACCATGTTTGTTGAGTAGTTTTAGGCATAGAAAGGACATTGTTCTCACCTCACTGGAGTCCTCCTGCTGGTTGATGACCGTTAGTGCGTCCTCTGAGGCCTGTCTCTTCGCCTCGGCCAGGGCCCTCTCCATTTTAGAGCGCTCAGCAGAAATCATCTCGTGGGCTTTCCTCTCAGCATCAGTAACCGCCTTCTGCAGCTCTGACATGGCCTGTCGCTTCACCTCGTTCACTGCTTCCTCTGCAAAAAAACAAACAAAAAAACATATAATTCCACCCTCATCTGATCTGCCCTTTCTAGCTTTCTGAACTAGCATAATGTTTCATCTTAGTTAGCAGATGCACATCATACAAAATTGAAACCTTTCTGCCAAAAATATGACTTCTATGATTAATCCCCACATGTTTGGACATAATAATTTCATCTGTCACAAGCAGATGTCTCTCAAATATTGTCAGGGGTTTGGCTCTATGCCTTATCATCTGGCATCCTCTGCTCATATGACTGTGTCCTTTATCATTAGTTTTATTTCATATTTTTTCTCCAACACAAACACAATAGATTGATCCACATTTAAAGACCTTTTGTACACTTAACAGGAGCAATTGAGCTGCTTTACAATGGGCAGGTGTGTTGACTCCAGATGGTAGTTTAAAATAGAAACATCCCGCAGTATTTATTCTCAGTATGAGGTAAGAGTGATTATAATGTGCTATATTTCATTATTGGCCTCATAGTGAACAACACAACATGATTTTATACCAGGAAGCAAGCTCACCCCAGAGAAATAGGTTGGTAATTACTGTACCTACACTTAATCAGTTACACAAATATCTGCTAGGATGATATTAGTTACAGAAAACCAGGGCAGTGGCACTATTGTATGCTATGATCAATAAACATATTTTTTTTGCATTCGACAACTACTTAAACATGAAAAAATTAGCTTTTAATTATTGTTTTATTCCATAAATAACACATACCGTGAAAAAAAAAAAAAAAATATATATATATTGAGATTATTCCACCTTTATCAGCTTTTAACGTTTTCTAACTGCAAGCGCTACTCTCTCCAAACACTATCTGCATTTTGCTTCTCAATTATCTGGCCTAATGTATACACCACTAAGATTAGTTTGCAAATGTAATTAATTCTTATCAAGGAGACGCCATTGCAGATGCTGGGGCAATTAGCACTCCATGGAAAACACAGGAGAAGCAATATTAACGCTTAATTCTGAAGGGATTTGGGGAATCTCGGAGTGCTGCTTCTGCCGACTTTTTACACTTTACAAGAAATAAACAGTTATGCAATTTCATGACCTGGTTTGTTTAATTAAGCCAAAAATGTCTTCACAAAGTAATGCATTTCAAATTTTACACGCTACATTATTCAGAATTATTAACAGATGAAACTCGTCAAATTAGAATATTGATGAAAACGTCTGTGATTTATCTTAAAATGTAGAACAAAAATATGATATTATTGACTCTTTACAGAAGAAGCATGCCAAGCTTTTGTTTTTATAATATATTCCTATGGTTTACAGTTCATTTTTGTAATAGAGATATTTTTGTTAGGGGTTTTCAATTCACATCAACACAATTTTTGCATAGCCCTAAATCAGACGAGAAGTCGTCTCAGAAGAGGTCGATTCAGAGTTCAGAGAATCAGTTAGAACACAACAAATGCAGAAATAACAAACAGTTAGGAGCCATTGGTTCATAGGGAGACGGATGACCAATGTCCTTAAATTTGGAAAATCTGAGCTAATCTAACAATATACCAACTAAAGACTTGGTATGTCTCACTTTGCAGGTATTGGCCCTTTCATATATTAGTATTATTTACATTGTAAGTTGAAGTACAGAAGTAAAAAGAATTGAAATATGTTTGAGTTTCATCTGTATTGACCACTATTTATCAATAATGCAATTTATCCATAATTTCTGTCCCTAGTTTAATAAGCTATACTAGAAAATTGGAATAAGCACAAATTATGAAATATTCTGATCACTTGACTGGATTTTATTTTACACTTTGTAAACAGGTTACACAAATGTCAACATTATAATTTGTAAGATAATGAATTGATGTTATATCCGCGCTCCCACTTCCTGTGTGTGAAGTGGTTGGTGTGATCTATTACTCACCCTGCTTGTTTTGAAGGTGCTTTAGTGCCGGGGAGAGCGGGATGCTCGTGGTTGTAGTAGTTGTACCTGTATGAAAAACAACTGCAATTAAAAGAGCTTTTTTGCAGGTGAAAATGCAGCACGCAGTATTTTGCCAACAGCAGCAGCATCTTCCCCTCCGCAGGGTATTAGAGTATGACTGCTACATAATAGTGCTGGGACTGGGGTGGAACCAGGGCTGAGCCAGATGACTCCTGGGATGAGCTCCATCTAAAATGCAATATATACAAGAAGAGCCAGGCAGCGCACTCACCTGCGCCTCTGGCTACAAACAAGCGATAAAATGTTTCACTTATATGAATATAAAATGCCCGTTTTAATTGTGTTTTTAACTCAATAACTATGATGGATGTATTTACCGTGAGATAAGGTCTTATTTTCAATATGCTGTAAATAATGTGAAAGACTAAAACTAATAGTAATTAAAATCCACTTTTTAGTTTCTTATTTTTGTGCTTTTCAATGTTCAATTAAGCAGTCATTATGTTTTGTGACATATATTACTGTCACATGTCAGGCAATGCACAATTGATCATTTATTAATTGTTTATATAGAATCTCCTCTTCCAAATAAAGCCGTGCTGCTGTGGCCTGCTTTTGGCCAGGTGACTGCATTTTCACTGCAGCTCTAACTGCAGTGGCCTTTCATAGCAGTGACAGATGGAGAGTGTTTAGCCTTAATGACACAGAGGACCTCCAATCCTCTGGCCTTATGGACCTATGGCTCAGAGGCCTCTGCTGTCCCGTCAGCTGGGTGAGGTGTGAGTATATTCTATGTTTAATTAAAAAAACAAAAACAAACAAACAAACAAACATGCATGTGTGAAATCCAAATTTTTACCGGCTTTTCTCCAGATTTCTTCAGGCAGGTACCCCGATGGAGGTCTATGCAGGAAGTCTCTGTGGATCTCTGAAACATGCAAAAGTACAAACATTTAACTCACAAATTTTCCACAAGAGAATTTACATGCTTTTTTCTCTTTCTGTTGTGGTGCAATATGAACAAAAAATGACCTATGATATGTGTTATAGCAAACATCACATATCTCTATTTAGTGTTTATTTATATCAACATGAACTAATTTGATGTCAGTTTGTCAATTACGTCAAGTCAAAGGTTCTGGAGTGGTTTTGTTAGTGCCTAAACTGATCAGTTATGGTTCCCCTACCTCTCTGTAAATGTTCTGTGTGTTTTCGTCTACCTGTCTGTCTGCCTGTCTGCCTTTCAGCGGCCGGGTTGGTTCCTAGGGGCAGTGGCTCGCTGCTGCTAGTTGTGTTGGAGGAGTTGTGGTGAGGAGGAGGAAGAGGAGGAAGGCAGGGCGGTCCGTTACTCCCACCTTTTTTCATCTCCTCAACGTCACTGTAACGGCGGATCCAGTGGTTCATCTCCTCGCGGTCGGCTTCCTGGCAGCGCCGCAGTACCGTGAGCGACCGCCGCGTCTTCTCCACCATATCCATGATGCAGTTTAAAAGCTGCAGGATGGGGGGGGGCAAAGGTGAAAGGGAGAAGTTTAGAATCTTCATGTTCAAAAGGCTTTTTAAAAAATAGATAGATACTTTATTTTGTCACATACAATAATGTGTCAGTTTTATACAGCGCTTTTCAGGACACTCAAAGATGCTTCACATGTTATTATTCTTTCACTCCATACAGGGTGGTGATAAACTACTGTAGCCATAGCTGACCTGGGGCACACTGACAGAAGCGAGGCACCATCGGCTGCTCTGACCACCCGATCAACCATTCACACACACACACACCAGATTCATCATAGGCAATGTTGGTGAAGTGTCTTGCCTGAGGACACAACAACAGTTTGGCACTTTACAACTGCAGCAGCCCCACTGTGGCCCCTGGTGTTCCCAGAGGTCTCCCATCACAGTACTAACCAGGCCCTGCTCAGCACAGCTTCAAAGATCTGACAAGATCTGGCTTTCGCATGCAAGTATGGCCACGTCAACTGAGTCAATAATATGTAGTGAAATTACTAAGATTTTTTTTATTAGACATAATATTATTAAAATACATTGTTGAAAGATCCAAACCCATGTAGGAAGCTACCATAAGTTACTGCCAAGACTGAGTTGTAAACAGTGTGCCACAAAAACCTGCCCTGGGTCATACATAATTCCCCTTTGATAGTTTGATAGTATTAAATCATTTGGAATTAAATTACTAAATTGAAATCATATATGAAGAACTGTGTCTGTGTGCTAATTTAGTTTGCATGCCTCTTGCTAAATTTCAACAGGAACAGCCTTACAACAATGGTAACGTAACAGCTGGCCTGCTGATGAAAAAGTTGATCCGATTCCTTCCACCCCTCTGCTCTGTTCCCTGCCAACTCAACAGATTTCCTCTCCCTTTCAGTCTGTCGTAAACAGCGTCGCCGTTTTTCACACCATTTCCATCGCTGCCGGCTGTAAAATGGGTTCACCGTCTTTAACATTCAATGCATATTCGATTACCATACAGCTTTATTCTGCGTGCGTCTGTCTCTTGTCTCTCTCAAACCTTCTGTCGCCCTGACTTAGCTATATTTGTTTCAGTGAAGGGTTTCTAATTTGGCAGAGGTCCAAGCCTGGCCGGTTCCCTCCATGATCTTTTCTCAGCTGCTCTCCCCAGCTGGAGCTACTCTCGGCTGGGTTGCTGCTCTCCATCTGGGCCCCCGTTCCTCTGTGGCCATGTGCAGCGTATGTGTGCGTTAGTAAGTCTTGTCTACATGACATTGTGAATGGGGTTGTGTGCCAAAAAGCAAAATAGTTAGTAGGTGTCTGTGTGTTTTTGTCAATTCGGTTCTCTAATGAGTAGAAAACATTTTTGATAATTGGCTTAAAGACCTGGATTAGAATTCTACAGTTTCATGTTGTTGTATGGTGACAATAACTACAGTAAAGATAACATTGACAGACAAAGTTACTCAGATTTGTGCAAAAGACAGAAGTGTGCAAACATGTCGCAAGTTTTGGATTCCAACAAAGTAGTGAACGTATTATGCTCATTTATCAACTTCTCCCTCGGCTGGGGCTTGTGCCATCTGCCATCTTGCTTCAGAACCAACCTCACCTGCTGACCTTGTTATAACAGTGTCCAGTGTATGTATGTACTTACATTATCCAGGTGCTTCCACTCCTCTGCCCACTCTCTGTCGGTGAGCCGGTGGTCAATCACTTCCTCCTGGCGAGTCCCGTGCACAGCTGCAGTAGAAAGACAAAGGATATATCTATGTTAGAGTCAGCATATGCACCATAAAGTACACCTGTGTAGAAGGCTTTTAAGAACATGCTCCGTTGCTCCATTTCCATTTATTTTGAGCCTATGCTTTCTGAGATGTAATATGCTGGATAAAGGTCCATTTGAATTGGTTCTAAACTTGTCATAAAAATTTGTATATTAATTATAACAAATGTAAGTCAATAAGAATAACTCTTTTGATGATTCATTACTAGACTAGTAAGGCTAAAGACAATATACCAAAGTGCAACCAGATTAACCAATGAAATTCTCTCCACAAACACAGGCTTACAGCGTGCGGCCTAGAGTCTATAAGCTTATCCAAGTGGAACAGGTCGTCAAAGAAGTCATCTCTCTTTTTGGGAAAGCACTGGCACACAGCATATATGGTTGTCACAGTTGTAGCACATAGGCATGTATGGCTATGGGCTTAATATAGGCACACTGCCATAAGGATTATCACACTGGACTGACAACTGGCCTTTGTTCTGTCCATGCACCCCACTTACAAACACCAGCTTTATACTTGACCCTTTGTGATTCCATGTGGTTTATTTAGCCACGTGGCTGCTGTCAGCTGTCGTACCTGTCTGTCGGTGCCTGTCGCGACCGTCTCTGTGTTCGCCGTGTCTATAAGCATCTCTGTACTGGTGTGCCATGGCCATGTCCTCTAGTCGGTAGTGCTGGGGTCCCATTTGGGGGTTGGGTGGGTGTGGTAGTCCGTTGGGTGGGTGTGTGGAGAGGCCGTTGGGGGGCGGGTGAGCGGGGAGTCCTGTGCTGGGGCTGAAGCGTTGGCTCGGGCTGATGGTGCACGGTCTCTTCGCCAGGTGCTCCGGGTGAAGGTCTCTGTCGGAGCTGTCTTTGGTCCTAAAGACACAAATCACAAATACTTGTTTATGAAAGCTCCAAACGCATGACTTTCCTGAACGCATTTCTGAGTAAACAAGCTGAGTGGGTAGCAATCTTCTTGCTTCATCTCACATAACATATGTCATATCGTATTTAAAAGGTAAAGTGGATTGGAACTCACTACATTACACTGCACAAACTTGAAAGATCTCCTCACTCACGCACAAATAAAACATACCAATCCTCCATTGCACCCGTACTTACAAACCATACAATACTCAATAGACAACCAGTGGTGTAATGCATGGCATGTGTGCATCATCACACAGTCATATTATTCTGTTCTTGTAGTAGATTAAAAGGTTAATGAGTCTGCTGCCTTGATGTTTGCAAACACAAAAGAACAACCTCCCCCAGCTAGTTGTTCAGTTACAGTAAGACAAAGTCACTGCACATCTGTACGCTCCAACGAAGCCCGCATCCACAGTCGTGCATCTCTAATTTTTAATCTAGATCCCTGTAGCCACTCTTAGATCTCTCTGTGTCCTGCTACACTCTTAAGCTTAAGGGGCATGGACTGAATACTGTGCGCTTGGCAGATGTTCAGTGGCGCTCATCTATTTGTGTGCCTTTACTCTATGTGTACGTGAGGTTGTGTCTTTACGCCATCTGGACAGTTTAAATGGGAGTGTTGATATTAATCTGTTTAGCTGGACGGCAATAGACAGGCCTCAAATCTTCCAGCGGATCAAATTAATGCAACGTGTGGAGAGTGTGCGCTAATGTGTGGGGTAATCCGTGTGTATGTTGAGTACATTACCCTACACAGTCCAGCCTCTGGTACCTGGCAAATCACAAGAACAGCTGGCTATAGCCCAGCGGAGCCCCTCCCCCTTGCACTCAATCCCAGCTGCCCGATGAAGCAGAGGTCGGGAGGCGGAGGTGTGCGGATTACAGTGGGATTGCGCGTTCAACCTCCGCACAGCACCCACCATCTCGCACGGCGCCCGGGATGTGCTCAGTGTTAGGGTCAGCACATCGCCATCTGGACAGAGCCCTGACATATGGACAGCTGCTGGGAGACTGCAGGTCAGAGGCAGTCTGAGTGGAGGGAGGAGAGAGACTACAGCAGGGTGGGGCCGCGCGGAGTGCTCATACGATGATAAACAAAAGGTGGATGCACGGCGTTTAGACAAATGTATACAGGTTTTTGTACCTGTAGTGTATGACATGGAGAAGCATTATTCATTTTGGCAGTGTCTGAATCCAGGTTGATAACAGATCTTATGACTTGAATGCCTCGTGTAATTGTTTGAGTTGTATGAACTGCTGTACAAATAAACTTGCTTTGCCTATTAACGCATTGGGCACCACCGTAGAATTGCAAAATGAGCTCCCAAATCCACTTTCCATATAGCAGCCTGGCTAACATTTGTTGCCTATTTTTATTTCTATAATAGATTTTAGTGGTCTTCTATCTTGTATACAGTTTACGAGCTCCACCTTCTGTCTGTTTCATACCAAATTTCTGAAAGAACTTCTAAAGGGTTAATCAAATCAAGTAGTGTTGAGAATTGTAGTGACAAACAAATTTCTGATTGTACTGTACTATAAAACACTTTGCACTACATTATTGTATGATAAGTGCTTTATTAATGGAAATGGATTGATTCTTTGAAGTATGTGTCACTATATGGTTAATCAAATGTGGTTTTGCAGCATGTATAGACCAGGTAAGCACTGGAGAAATATTATCAGACTTTGAATCATATTTTTAAGCTGGTCAAAAATGCTGAAACTTCAGGGGTTGTGCCACTGACATCAAGAATACCCAGCGTGATTCCCTAATCATGTATCTTCCTTTTCTTGCTACACAGACTCCTTCGCAGACAGCTGGCAGAAGGCAACCTGGCATTAGGGTTGTCCAGACTTCCACCTCCCACAACAAGGATTTATAGCCTCTCCCTGACTTGGCATTCATAAACAGACTCGAGTAATACACTGCAAATGTTTCCTTGTCAGCCTGAGCGCGTGTGGGTTTACCTATCAGGGGTCCTTCTCTTGCCATGCTCGTTCATCTCCAGCATGATCTCAGAGGAGTCCAGGGGCGAGCTGGCATTGGCGTCCAGGAGGAGCTGCTCGTGTTGGGCCAGGTATTGAGCCGGAGTCTGCTTGGCCAATCTCGCACAGTGGAGCAACTCCCTCTGAAGCAAGGGTAGGTTTGCCTGTATTGAAACAAAGAAAGACATTCAATGAAATAACTAGCGGCGGAGGGGTATATAGATTTATTGAACAAGCGTAGAAGTAGAAGAGTGAAGAAGACAGGAATTGGCCGAAAGGTGCTGTAAAGGCACAACAAATAGGCCTAGTGAAACAGTGGGAGATCAGGAAAAAAACGCTTGATAGATGGGGACAGAGAATGAGATAAGACAGGTGCTTTGACACACTGGTCTGCCATGTGTCGCTCTCTGTTTGGGATGAACTGCCGGACTGTGTGTTGTTAGAAACACTGCTGTCACATAACTCTTGAGACCTGTCTGTTTGATAAAGCACAGTAATAGCAGCAATGTCCCAGATGTGAAGAATCAGTGCATCCCGGGAGGTCTAGCCCCCCGCCCAAAACACACACACACACATAGTCCACACGTTGGACATTTACAAGAACACTCACCACAGTGTGTGCTTTTATATTACTTTTTACAACTATGAATGGACCAGTTATGTAGGGAATTTGTTGGATTCTGCATTGGTTATAAAAGCATCTGGATTTATCAACTTCGGATCTTAAAATCTACCTGTTTTTCTTGTCACATTTTTGTGTAATAACCTTTGGAAACACTTAATGGTCGAGGAGGAAAAGCTCCAATTAAAGTTGGGCTACCAAACTTTTTCCATCAAAAATTATACACTGTCCAAAGAGTACAATATGAAAGAAAGAAAAATCAGACCATGACATGCTGTCTCCATCTTATTAATAAAAACATGTATTAAAAAACAAAAAAAGACCCCTGTAAGTCACTATTTGATGCTTTGGGCTGAGAACTGATTGGTGGTCCTTTCATTTTCAGGTTTCTGTTAGAAAACTCGTGACAGAAGAGAACCAAACTGCTTTGAGAGCAAGGAACTTGTTAAATGGATTTTGTTGCATAGTTAAATTGCTTGTGGTTAGAAAGATAGGCACCCCCATCTTTAAAGATCTGAAGAAACAGATCTTTAATTCTAGTTTTATGCAACAAATAAACAGAAATAAAAGTAAGTTTATGTTATGTCTTAAATTTCACACATTTGTATACGTTTTGCAGTTGTTTACCTTCAGGAAGGGAATGACAAAAGGCCTCAGCGGGAAATTTGTTGCCTCGTGAAGTTTGCCATGAAACTCCTCAATTGTGAGAGTTGAGTTCTGTAACAAAAAAAAAAAAAGAAATTTTCCATTAAAATATACATCATTCTAGTGAACTAACTTATCTTTGGCCATATTATTGTATCATAAATCAAAGCAGACACTAACCACGAGCCCCAACACCAGACTGCGGACCCTCTCTCCTATCTCGGGCGATATATCGTTGCCAAACTGCTGCAGCGTGGTGAGGAAGCGTTTGAGTTTGCAGAGCTGCCGGGCTCCGCAGGCTGGGGGAAGCTGCTGGTTCGACAGCGACGCCGTGGACGACATGGCCGGACCGTTACTGAACCCGTTTGGTGTGGACGGAGCACCATTCAGCGAGGTGGGAGAATGACTGCTCCCGTTCAACACTGCAAAAAAAGACGCACAGGTCGTTAAACTTATACAATTCATTTTAATTCAATGTATTGTTGTTTAGAACCAAAATCACAACTGAAGTCGTCTTGGAGGACTTTAAAATGTGGTTGATTGACCAACAATGTAGAGGATCTAACAGTTTAAACACAGAAAAAGCATAATAACATAAACATAGAGGAGCCATTGGTCCGCAGGGAGTGGGATGACCAATATCCAAATGTTAATAAATGTCCATAAATGTCCTAAAATATCCCGGATCATCCCTGTCCTTGGACCCTCCTGTATCAGCAAGGATCAAACTGCTAAAACTGAACTCTGACTGGGCTGGTTTTAAACACAATCTGAAGCAATTGATTTTTTTAAACAAACCAGTTGTGTGAGCTTCAATGAGTTGGAGAACACCTGTGTTTGTATAATGTGAATACTATAATGTAAAATGTGTTTTTAATTGTGTTCAAAGCCCTCCTAGGGACGGACAAATTAGCCTTGGCTATAAATGTTGAAGTGTTTCACATGTTGATTGTGTACACTTGTTCCTATCAAATAAATCAATGAATAAAAAATAAAAAAAGATAGGGCCCACATTGACATAGGGATTGGAGGAGGCTCCCAGGTTCTTTTCCTAAGGCAGTGCCCTTATTTTTTCTTTGTCTTTTTTGTTTTTTTTAAGCACATTGTCCTGTAAGAAATGTCCTATATGAATACATTTTATTCTTCCTCTTCTATAGTCCTGAGGCATGTGAACACTTATTAGTGGACCGGGCTCATTTCGCTTCAGGAGAACGCGCAACAGTAGGTCAACATCAAAGAAGTGATCAGTGTAAATCTGCTTGGTGCAATCACGTCCACTCAGGTCGTTTTAGGGCGCGTTCACACCTGTTAGTCTGTAAAGCTGGGTTACCTGACTTTCAAACCATACGATATAATCAAAATCCTTCTTGCTAGTCCCTCACCATCACGGCCGTAGAACAGATAAGAAATTTCCCCACTGTGGGACAAATAAAGGCTCTCTTATTTTATTTATATTTTATGAGATTTTCTGATCTAAAAAGTGAAAAAGAGAGGGTAGCCAGCTCTCAGCCCGAAATTATGCAAAATTTAATAATAAGTATTTTGTTTTTAAACAGAGAGAAGTTTGTAAGTAGTAAAATGTGAACAAATCAGACCACAACATTTTCCTTTTGCAAGCCCTTTTCTGCAAAAAGTTAGGTACCTTAGCTTTAACTGGACCAAACTCCGATTCACTTGGGGGCAAAACGACTTTGATTGTGGTTGAGAAAACAAGCAAAGAAGCCACTTAAGTCAGTTTACGTTTACTGATCTGTGAACCATTTTTTTCCCCAAGAGAGAACCAGACTTGGTCCAGTTAAAGTGAACCAAACCAAAGTGTGAACGCCCTCAATTGTCTAATATATAGAAGTTAATTTTGAAAGTGCTGCACTGGGCTCTATCTAATGCAGTTATCAGAATTCAGTTCGTGACATATATTGTAGTGCTCAGATCCCATATGACTTAAGGCCATCAATGTGAGCCTTCAGCTGTCTTACTATCCTTACACACACACACACACACACACACACTACGCAGTATCACTTCATTTCATGTTGCTGCTCACCGATGCTCCGTCACTCACTAGTAGGACACAACTATAAGAGGAACTTGTTAAAGAGGTTCCAAAAATAGCTCTTTGGCCTGTGTTACTTTTATTCCAATAGCAGGTGTGCAGCTAAATCTGGCAACCGCACATGTCCACAAGCTGAAAGTAGATTTGCAGCTTTGAGGTTCAGAATAGTCCATACTTTCTTACACATTTATAATCGCTAGCATATTATTTTGAAGGTGTTTATAAGTAAATAAATAAGGCTGACCAATTGTTAACCTCCGTTTTGGTTTTAAACTTTCTCAGGAGGGGGAAAGCAGCCTTTGAGAGACATTTGTGTCACTCTGATGTTTTGGAATGAATACAAATGTGGGCCTTTACTGCTAAATAATGGTTTTCTTTGTGATTAAATGGATAGAGTTGCCTTTGTAAGAGAAACTGGTGCATGTATTAAAATGGCATGATTTCATTATACCAGCATATGCAAGCACTTACACAGAGCATGGCATCCAGACTGTAATTGTGTTCCCGTTTCCAGCTCTGCCTTCAGACTGCAGTCAACCACAATGCGCCACTGTGGAGTGTAACACTATACTTTGTAATTGAAAAGAGAACTATAGTTTAGCAGTTTGAGTCTGGTTTGGTGCTTGCGGTCGCTCTCTGTCATATTCTAATCTGAGGGCACGGCGCTTGAAAACATATGGACTAAACCATGTGATCCCAACAGGCAGCACTTGTGTTCTGGTTTTAGATATAGAGAGGTGCAAGGAGAGAGCCTGGACTGCTGACCACCCGCCACAACAGGTGAAACAACACGGCCTGTCATTGCTATATAGGGAAGAAAGTACGCTCGCACAACTCATCCAACGCTACACAACCAGCTGGTAAACAACACGCATTCAGCAACGCGCTCACAATGGCACAGCCGCCGCGTTCGCAAGCGTCCTGTGGCATATGTCCAATCAGAGAAGAGAGTCAAAGCAGCTCCAAGGCATTTGAACGGGACGCTTAAAGAACACACCTGACACATTTGGACATATGCGCGCGAATGCTTGGAATTTCCCTTCTTTTCTTCAAGCAGCAAGGTGACAGTTGATCTAAGAGGAAGAGGCCCGGTCTGAACAGATGCACATAGGGTCTATGTGTTTGCTGTGGTTCTACATTATCAGATGATCATTTATAACGCAATCTCACGGTTTAGTTTGGTAGAAATATGCCCAGTGAGCTCGAAATATAGCTCTCTTTTCAAACCAATGAACTGATGAACCAATGAGAAACTGTGTATATGCCATTTACCTGCATATAATGTGAGTGTTAAATGTATTTTGAGGTTTGGATGTCTTGAGGATTGCCTTCATCTTGTAAGACTAAGATTTTGTTAAAAGGGTTAGACAAGAAAAGGCCTCACCCTTTTCTGTCTTTATTGTCAATCTCTGAACCTGCTTTCTCTTTTTGTTGATCACCAAAGGTCAAAGAAATACTAAACTAATAACTTCTGTGCACATGGACACTGGTCTGAAAGACTAAGGCATTGGATCTTAAAGGTCTCGTACTAAATAGAGAGCTATACAACTTCAGAGTGCAACGCTGTCTTTCTTTGAACTTTCAATAATCTTCCTGCATCTGCACCTCAAAACGAGACTTTGGTGTGCATTGCTTTTTCCTCCAATGGGCACTTGGTCACACAACATATAAGTAGAGACAATGCAGGGATAATTTGTTCTCTTACTTGATTTACTGGTGGTGGGGGTGAATGAAGCGTTGCGGCTGGTTACTTGGCTGACAGCCGGAGGTGGAGGAGGCATGGTAGGCGGGGTGGACCTTGGCTGGGTTTTCACATCTGCAGGTGAATCGGGCATTGTTCCAGCCTTCTGCACTCTGCTACCTGCAATATAGGGACATACAAAACAGATCAGAGAAATGCTTTCCAAAGAGAGACAAGTGGGAAAAGTGAAAGCAGATTTTAAACCTGGCAATCCTGGATACTGTCCATTATCCTTCATACAACAGGCAAAACAAATGGTAACAGGGAGTGGACATGAGCCCAAACTTGTATTGTGTCCTGCTGGAGATTCATGGCCTGAGAGAGCTACAGTAACACCTGCTCACTCGCTCAGCTGCTGCCTTCCCCTCCCTCCTTATCACCCTCTCTCTCTCTCCTTCACACACACAACACTGCAGCCTGACATCCCAATCAGAGCCTTCCACCGTAACCTCCACCAGCCCTCTGAAGGCTCCCGGTCCCATGCACGCTGCACCTCCGCCTGTCCCCGCTTGTCCCCACTGTACAGACACTTTGACAGCCAGTGACATGTGCAGCTGGATCTGCTGCTGTCCATCACAGTAAACCAGGGCCCCATCCTGCTACCATAGGCCCACAGTCTGTGCCCTGCCAGACGCCCGCCAGCACCAAACAAGGCATGACCCACACATAGAGCTTGAAGACGTTGAGAGCTACAAGAAAGTAGAGGTCAACAATATGTTTTTTTAGGGCCGATGCTAATAAATAGTAGTCAATGAAGTCGATAACAATATAAAGAGCCAATATTAATTTGCAGGAAATTGTAAAATATTTATTTATTATTATTATTTGTGTGTAATACAATCTCCAGAACCTGCCTGTAGCATGATATATATCCAACAAAACAAATAGAAACTTGAAATAGCTCACATTGTATAGACCAGTGGTGAGCAAACCCTGGCCCGCGGACCAGATGCGGCCCTTTGGAAACTTCTATTAGGCCCCTGAGCTCTCCCTGGTTTTTATGAATATAGTACAGCATTTTTATCTCTTGGTGCTGTGAGCAGAGATCTGGAGACGCGCTCTTTGTTCTGCCAATATCTAATATTTAACAATGCAAATTAGGTCTGGCCCCCAACAGCAGGCTGCTATTCAAATGTGGCCCTCAGGAAGAAAAGTTTGCCCAGGCCTGGTTTTAGGAGATGCTTTGGATGGATTTGATGTGATTAATTGAAATGAAGTGTCCTGTAATTTTAGTCAACCGAATACACTAGTCCTGGCACAGCTGTTAATAACTAATAAATACGTTTGTGTTTAGTTGAGCCTTATTGTTGTTGTTTGAACCAGTAGGCTGGACTAGACTAATGAAATCAACAACAACAAGTGAAATTGGGTAAACATAAAAACATATATTTACATAACACAGCCGCGATAAGTAGCTGAAACATCTGCTTTTCAAATGCTTGTATCTGTATGTTTAACACACTTTTTACCTTATTTGGCTGTAAATCAATGGCAAGATGTGTAGCTCTTGCTCAACATTGCCTGTGGAAGAGGCGACACAGGCCACCTGAGTGTACAGTTTGTGGTGTTCTACATAGACAGCGGATAAACAGCTGTGTTATTCTTCAGAGGAGCATGTGTGAGGTGAGTGTCTGCATGTTTACTGTCACTCTGTCCATCTACATGTCCCTGCAGCTGCTGGAACCAGATCCGTCTGCAATGTAAACTTGAGCTCTAAGGTGTGATGGCTTCTGCAGATTGCACTGAAATCGCTTTTGAATATGTGTGCAGGGCATGTGATAAATTATGGCTTAAAAAAACATGAGCTTGCACTGCTGAGAGCCAACCTACTTGTCTATTGTCTGCATGTAAGTTACAGGTATGTACTGTGTTGATAGACCAGCCACAACCATACATTTTGGGTCTATATATTAATCGTCTGTTCATTTCTTTTGCAGCAGTGGACAGATTTGAGCTATTATCTTGGGAAAAAATATGACATTTTGGCTGTGGCTGGTTCAATATGACTAATTATAACTATAAGGCTGTTTATTAGCTTTTTAGTGAAATGGAAATAATAATAAAAAAGGAATCGCATCAGGCATAAAGTAGTTTACCACAAGTATTGTTATTATTTGGTAATATATCATTCATCAAAATTACAGTAGTTGTTTTGACAGGCCTATGTGTCAATGCATGCTCATCATAAAAACTGGAGAGAAGTCTACAATGGCGGACATGCTTAGATAGTAAATGTAATAAATGAAAGCCCAAAGTAGGATCAAACCCATAGAACAGTCTGATTAACAATTTGTGACACATATAAATTAACTTATAAAATCCAGCCCTGCTATCATACTAATCACGGTCAGCGTTGTATGAAATTACCAGCCAATCAAACATCGCAATAAACCTAAAGCTGCCTTGATGTTGGCGCTCATATAGAAGTGTCAAACAGCTGCTCTGGTCTGTATTCAATATGCCACTCTGCAATGAGCCCAGCGAGGGTCATTGACACAGTGATCCTGAAGGAGACAGGGCATGCCTCTGTTCGGCTCAGGCCACAAGCTTGAAGCCTAAACACTGGGTTGTAGATAAAGTCAGAGCTGGGTGTATAAATAGAACTGAAGAGCCCTAAACACACACAAACGACTGGGGAAAGTCTGGTGACCATAAACACCAGGAAGTCTTGTTTTCACATGAAATACAGACTCTTAAAAGATACAAATTATGCATCTAAAAGAGACTGCACTGGTATGTATGCTGTTGGGTTATACTGGAACCACAGTGTCATCCCACTATGGTGACTTAAATGATGTTATAGGCCAAGGAGGAGGAGAGGGTAAGGCTCTTCCAGTCTGTCTGCTTCCATTGTGGGATTATGGGCAGCTGTTTAATCTGACCAGCTACAGGGACAGGGCACCACATACGCACCATGGTGATTTCACTTTTAATACATTAGGAAGTCTGCTTGGTCTGAAATCCCATCCATCTGTGCCACCACTGTCTGCGCTGAGGGACGCAATCCTTCTGCCCAAAGAAAGGGAAGGGTCAAAGATCGGAAGAACCTGGGTTATTATTTTATCATCGTTTTTACAGAACTGTCAATGTATATGTTTGTCCTCGCAAAGAGCAAGCAATAAAGAAAGATTGATATTGAAGCATTTGCAGCTAGCTAAGAAACATAGCAGCTACTTATTTTGTACATTGTGTGTGCTCCCTGTGTGCTCTCACTACTGTCCAGTATGTGCGCTGCAACATTGGAATTTCTCCACAGTGGGATCTATCTTACTCATGAATTGTATTATATCATGCATACTCTGATTCCACTAAGAAAATCGCAATCAGTGAATGTGGAATTTTCACGTAGACGAAACATTAAAGCCAGGGCAACAAAAAACCACTATGTAATAAATACTGTACCGTTAAACAGTTTGGTTGTATCACTAGGTTTCAGTCACATTTCAGATTTTCAGACTTTTTTCAGAAAAGTGACAAATCAATTATCAGCTCAAAACATCAAATAGTGATGCAAAAGAAAAGATGTTTTCTAATACATTTAATACATTCAATACCATACAATGATGTGGTCTGATCTATTCACAACATTTGACTTGTGACTAACCACATGCATAATTTAGGGGAATTTAGGTACCCCAGCTTTAACATGCACTCAAATGATAGAAATTTTGCCTTCCTGGATTTGCACTGCTGTCAACAACACTTACAGTAATGCCCTCAAAAGCTGCATTTGCCATTTACAGTCAGAGCAGAAGACAAATGTGCCAATAAATTATTCTTTTTGACACATTTCAAATTAAAGGGAAATATTGACACAAGATCAAATCACCAAACTGCATCATCAATCTGCCTGGTTCTCTAAACAGCTGTACGTCTGCACATTTGACGTAATCAGGACTAAAAGATTGCTCACCAAAGAAACTGTCTGCAGACAGAGCTATAAAAAATGTTTTCTCCTGCACTCCCTTTGTGCCATGATGAAATGAGATGAAAAACAATTCACTGTGAGACAAGCCAGACCAAAGATCTCACGATGTACAACTGCACCCGTACAACGCAGCAGCGGGTTCAAACATACACATAAATTAGGTGTTGGCAAAATACTGAAACTGAACATGGATAATATTAGTGTTGTTTTAAAGTGTGTCAATATCGTCACATCCGTTTTTTCAGTTGCGCCAAAGTGCCAGACCATTACACTTATATTAGTCCCAGAATGACAAATTAAGAAAAACATTGTAGCTATGTGACTGTGTATGCCGATGGCGGTGAAAAATGGGAGCCGATTAGTGTCTTGGAAAGAAACATTTATGAATCACTAACTTTGAGTGGGTCAATGAGAAGGAAAACAATATTGTAGCATGACTAAAAGTTGAAAAAGCATATCCCTTTTGAATAAAAGATTTTCCTCTTTTTTGTAGTCTGATACTCAGCTGATATTTTGGCACAATTCTAGATGAAGACAAACCAAATATAAATATAAATATATGTATATATGTATAGATACATATATACATACAGACATACATACATACATATATACATACATATGTGCCTTGTAGCTCCCACTGAATAACACGAAAATACACTGAAGAGAAGCGCTATATGTACATATGTACATATATATATATATTATATATATGTACATAGCGCTATATGTATATATGTACATATATACATACATATATATATATATATTAGGGATTAGGAAAGCGTTGAAGTTTCATGTTACAATGTCATATCTCTGCATTGCATGTATTGTAGATACTAAAATGCAGCTGCAACCTATTAGCATCACCTAACCGCTGCAGAATAGTCACTTAAATCCCTGCTGCCTGTTCCCTGTCAGTAGTCCGCAGAGAGCCTCCACAGTGACCACAGTGCGCTTCTCTGTCTCCCACTCTCACATCCTCCCTCTCTCTCACTGTAATTCCCCCAGTCTCCAGGAATGCTGTTGTTTTTAATTTCTCCCAGCTGCTCTGGCTGGCTGCCCGGCCGCCTGCCTTCCCACATCTGTTCCCTATCAGGCCGCTGAGGAGTCCACACAAACAGCGCCACAGCCTCTGGCCCCAGCCCCCCCACCAGGACTTCATATCAAAACATGGGAATTGTAGCCCATG